AATACGAGGCATCCTGATAATATTAGATGGTGTTGTTGAATTTATTTCATTGATCAAAAGCGCTCTACGTATCTACGTATTATCTCAAGGGGTGCGCGGAATCTGGGTTGCACGGAAAGTGGGTACGTTGACTTAGTCATTACTCTTCCCTAGATTGTATGATCGACGTGTGTTCGACATGGAATATACATAATATGGCAAACGAATGGTATGAGGCAGTTGGCTGATGGTTGTCTCAGTTGTCAGATGGACGTAGGGTAATTCAAATGAGCTCACTTGAAATAAAATGATGGATTACTGAGGGGTCTCAAGGAACGTGGCAGTAATAGGCACGTGCATTGATGAGTCATCATGCTGAGTCATCCAACCATCCTTCTTCATGAAGATTGCAGCCATGTACATACACGTCCATTCCTGTTATGGTTTGATCATTTGAGCGATGAGATGTCGATTACAGATTATATACAGTTGGGGAGAGCTATATAAGAATGGGTAGGATCCCCAAATGCCGATGTGGATGCCTCAGGCACTAACATTTGGGTAATTCTATACCTAATTGGGCTAGTATTTATGAGCCCATTTATGAGCGCTAGGGATAAATCGGGTTAGATTTCATGAAGACTTTATGAGGACGGCTTGCCCTAGTTGGATACTTGGATTCATAATGGCTGACAAACACAGGCAGATAACTGAGCCAATCATAATTGCCAAACTTGACAGGACCCATAAAAAGATGTGATTCGAAGATCGCGTGGAGTTAGGAAAAGCACCAACGTTGAGTTTGGACTTTGGAGGAACGTCGCCTGTACCGATTTCTGTTGGTCCAAAATTCCCTAGCACTTGAACGCAAAGTGCCGAGTGGAATTCATCGGTCCAACATGCCACAACCATCAGGCAGGCCCGCCCAAGGGCAGACCGGGAAACAAGAGGGAGGAGGCCAAGGCAGCGTACGTACGCCATCGTTGAACCTGCGCAACCTACGATATTGACCGCCGTGATAGATGTTGAAAACCATCCTCCAAACTGTCGGTATCTTCCTAGCGGTCCAGTTCGTCACCAACCAGTTCTTTGGAAAGGGAAGCACGTCCGCTGGAAAGCCCGCCGTCCCCGACTTCGCCGAACGACCGGCGGTACCTGATGCGGACGCGGAATATGCCAGGGTACCGAATGTCATCGCGCCGATGTGGTCGTCCGGGTCGAAGTTGGATCTCCGAGTCTATGTGTCGCCGTCGATGGTCCTGCCTTCCCTTTCATCCATGCCCAGCGATTCGCTGGTTGTCGATGAGCAAGAGTTTGGGTTCGGCAACTACAGCGATAAACGCGAGATCCATGTGGAGTTCCCGGTTCCGGAAGCGGTGCAGAATAATGGAACGCTATGGGCGCACTACTTCGTCGCGCAGTCCGGGTTCAATATGGACCCGGCGGCGAAGGACTACGACATTGCCAAGGCATATAACTTCGCGCGACCCCTGACTCAAGTTCTGGTCAAGAAGCGGCAAGCGAAGCTGAGAAACCTGCTGGAAAAGAAGAACATGTCGGAGGAAGAAGCCAGGGAAGAAGAGGAGCTGGCGAAGAAGCCAAAGGAATGGGCATCGTACTACCATTCGAACTTTTCCCTCAACTTCATCCCGGACTCAGGGACGCAGAATTATCCCCAGATGCATCCATCTCTCATCCAGTTTATCCAGCTCGACCGAACCGGCGCACGGGATGCGAGTGGACAGAATGGATGGTATTTCCCGATCCTCTATCCGAACACCTTCTGGCAACTGCGCGACCAGATGCTGGAGATTAACCAGACGGTCAAGCAATTGCCGCTCAATATCCAGCTCAGCAACCTGCCCAATTGGAGATACACCATCTTTGCAAGCGTCGACGAAGGCATGAAGGCGACCCAGTACCAGGCTGCGCAAGGCAATGCGCCTGCGACGGGAGACGGATCCGAGTTCGAGGAATTCAAACGCATCCTGCTCGACAGCAACACCTACCTGCTCGGCTTGACCTTCGTGGTCAGCGTCTTCCATATGATCTTCGAGTTCCTAGCGTTCAAGAACGACGTCAGCCACTGGCGCAAGAAGAAGGACAACGTAGGCACGAGTTTCCGAACCATCGTGGCGAACGTCGTCATGCAGACGATCATCTTCCTGTATCTCATGGACAACAACGAGAATACCAGCTGGATGATCCTGTTCAGTCAGGGAATGGGCATCGCCGTCGAGGCATGGAAGATCACGAAGACGGTGAATATTCGAGTTCGACCGACCGCACCCGGCTCGTTCCTGCCTTATTCCGTCGTGTTCGAAGACAAGCACAAGCTGTCGGAGACGGAAAAGAAGACCGAAGAGGCTGATGCCGTCGCCTTCAAATATCTATATCGCATCGCCGTCCCTCTCCTTTTCGCCTACGCAGGTTACTCCTTGTACTACGAGACTCACAAGTCATGGTACAGTTTCATCATCGCGACTTTAGTAGGCTCGGTGTATGCATACGGCTTCCTGATGATGGTCCCATCCCTGTACATCAACTACCGCCTCAAGTCCATCGCGCACATGCCCGGAAAGGCCATGATGTACAAAGTCCTCTCCACATTCATCGGTACGTTCCTCCCCTCTCACTGTGACGACGCAACTAATCCCGACTAGACGATCTCTTCGCATTCACCATCAAAATGCCTACCCTCCACCGTCTCGCCACGCTCCGCGACGACGTCATCTTCTTCATCTATCTGTACCAGCGCTGGGCATACCGCATCGATTACACGCGCGTCAACGAGTTCGGGCAGGGTGGCGATGATGAAGAGGAGGATGCCAAGGAAGCTGCGAAGCCGCTTGCCGCACCTGCCGATGCGGCGAGCAAGGGGGCGGAAGCAGCCGCGGTCAGCAAAAGCGCGGAGGCAGTTGCCAGTGGGAAGGAAAAGAAGGAGAAGCCGCGGAAGCGGAAGTGAGGGGTTAGGTTGGATTGGTGCGGGCGGTGTGTTGGTGATGTGTATGTATAGTGGGTTATGAAATATGCCGTCCTACTTTCTATAGATGCTGATTGCGGAGAGTTACGATGAGCTCTCTTTTGGACGTCCTTGCTTTCATGGGTAGCGTGTATGTTCTCGTTGGGTGTCCTGTTTCTCCATGGATCTTTCTTTTCGTCGTCGATTATTATTGCCTTCGGGATTGTACTGGGTCGAACTTGGCTCTGCTGGTGAGTTGGTTGCAGTATCACTACTATTTATCATGCGACCTCTCTCCATCATGTCCCATCTTTGTCAACATCCTACACAATCTGCAGTGCTTCCTCAGACACCACCTCAATCACCTTCAGACAGCTCATCTAACACCCGCATATCTTACCTACATACCTATCCACCATGTATGCCACCCAAACGTCTTGTGCAAATTCAACTTGCTGACGATGTACCGGGCAACCCATTCAACAAGCACGGCTCATCCCTTTCATCCTAGCCACCACGCTTGTACCAGGAAAGCCATTCGGCGCATTCGATGATCAAATTGTCTTCGGACGGTATAGTGAAGAGGACCTGGTCCCTCGAGCAGTTTTCGGGGGAGATGGAACCGGCACTTCGGGCATAAACTGCTTCGAAAGCACAGTCGCGTACCGACAGACTGCAACTAATGCCCTCTCTCTTGGAACCATTAGTACTGGGACAACCAGCAATCTCGACAGCCCCGATCATGGTTGGCACCGCATCGGCACAGATTTCCCGAACTCCTTAACAACCGCTGGCACGCAAGGCCACGGTCCCTGGTCCTCACTTAAGTCCTTTGCCCAGTCGCCCATCTCCAAAGACCAAGGCGAATGGACCTGGATCCCCCTGGTCTCCAGCAGCTGGCGAGCGGGAAATGAGACCACGAGAACGAAACCATGCGCCGATACCCACCTCCATTCTGCTACCTCCATTCCACGCACGACACCGACTGCCGCAGACCCTCCTAGCGCAGACGTAGTCCACACAACGCCTCTCCGGGGGCAGACTCCAACATATACGCTGACGACCGACTGGACACAGCCCAGGATGGCGTTGCGAACGCCCTATTCAAGCTACGCGCCGAGGTCGCGGTCGAGATCAAGATCAGGTTCGCTGGAAATGAAGTTGGTCGCAAGCTTGCCGCTGTTGATGTACCTGTTGTTATTTGGGCTGTGATCCCCAGGGCACATTGGCGGAGTCGATGAATGAGGAGGTTTGGCAGAGATGGATGAGATGAAGTCGTGCGACCTTTTGGAAACTCTTGGAAACTTTTGGAAACTTTTGGACGTCTTATTGTCGTTACTTACTCCCTCCTGTAAGTAGAAGGGCACAGAGGATAATTGAAATGTAATGGTTTGGGTTCCTAGGCTCTCCTGCCAGTCTCTATTTTGTTGCAGTGGTCGACCTGCGGAACCCTCGATATGGATAGCGGATGCTCACATTTCTCTGGCTTGTGATTTGAGATTTGAGAAAGTCTGTTCTTCAATGCATCATGGTACTCGATTCTGGATATTTTCTTACGGTGGGTAGTCTACAAGTACTCACACTCCGTACAGGTAACGAAGACGAGGTCTCTAATTGCATCATGAGGTGACGTCTGCGACAGATGCCACTAATTACAGCCAGATGCCCAGATGGTCGTCGGTCGACAGGGGCCCTGCATTTGTGGCCTAGTATCGCAGTCCTCCAAGTCTCATTGGATGTATTATCCCTGCAGAATCTGGGGAGCCGGGAATCCCAACGTCATAATTAGAGCATTCTCCTTAAAGCTCTTTCAACCACACCGATCATGCTATACTGTACTACAGTGCACCATGGGAAGATCGAGGGCGGCATCTCAAAACCTGTACAGGTATTTAATGGAGGCCACTGTCTCCGCCTTACACAATCTAGATGCACCTTCACTGTCAATTCTCGGGCGATCCGCAGCAGGGAGTCCAGCCCTATTTCCCTTGTAGTCTCCCCCGACATCACTAATATTGAGAATTATCGAAGACAAGAGCAAGGAAAAATATTGCAATTAATCACCATGGCGCAAGAAGAAGTAGTCAAAGGGAAACCGCTCAATGAGTACGCAGAACACCTCCGTATCCTCCACATCATCCCCTAAACCTCCTCAGGCTCCTCACCCACTCCCTCGTCGACATTTATGTCGGCCCCGACAATCACCACTGGCCCCTCCACGAAAAACTGCTCACCACCCGCTCCGCATTCTTCTCCCAGCTCTTCCGCACCACCACCCGCTTCGGCCTCCCCGACGACAGCGACGCAGCCTTTAAGCTCTTCGTCGGCTGGCTGTACTCCGGCCGGATCCCGCCGCCGACGAAAGAAAGCGAGCTGACCGAGCTGCTGGAACTCGCGCTCATGGGGGAGCGGTGGGCGATTGCGGGGTTGGTGAGAGAGGTGTTGGAGACGGTTCGGGGGTGGTATGCACGCACGGACACGTATCCTGGGTTGAGGCGGGTGCAGTATGTGTATGCGAACACGGAGGTGGAGAGTCCGGTAAGGGCAATGATGGTGGGGGCGGTGGCGAGAATGTTGGCGTTGAGGGATCCAGGGGAGGGGATACCGCGGCATTGGGAGAAGGCGTTGAGGAGGGATGGGGAGTTGGCGGTGGAGATCATCGTTGCAATTCAGGGGTGGCGGTTGGGGGAGTTGGTGAGTGGTGAGGAGAAGGTTCCGGATACGAGGAGGGGGGTCGCTGGGATGAGGGAGAAGGAGAGTGTGAAGAAGGTGGAGAGGCTAGAGGATAAGGTGCGAGGAATGGATCCGAAGACGCTGGCTGTGCGTGGGTCTATCATACCGTCCAAGGCGGAGGACAAGGTTGGGAAGATTGATATCGGTGACAAGAAGGAAGATCTGGAAAAAGATGTCAGAAGCGAAGGCGAAGACAGTGTTGCTACGCTGGTTAATGCCGCCCACTGAACGATCTCTCAACAAACAGATCTGCCTGACTTGCTGTTTGGAGTTCAGCGCTGAATCGAGGCTCACCGTCAGGATGCTTGAGTGCAATATTCCTTTTAGCGTTACGAGGGGATTCCGCAAAATCGGATGTACACGGTTGTCCCTAATCTTCTCCACTGCCCAGATCGTAATAACAATTTGACCTGATAGATTGATAAAGAGCGAAGGGGCTTGTGAGCAGTGAGATCAGTGAAATTGCATAGGGAATGAGAAGATTTAAAGTGCTCGATTACGCTCTCTGGTCAGCTTTTCAAGTCTAGAGCGCACATGTCCTTATTCATAGTCCCACGCGGGCACTAGAGAACCAATCTCTAAGCCTCTTCCGGTGGGACGGTAAATGCCTCTACACTTTTATACTTTCATAAAGCTATGATGGAATTGACACCCGAAACATGTTCTCGCCGTTTGCAAATCACAAGCAATATCACCACTTGCTTTATTGATTTCACGGTACAAACTACTTTATCAATTATCAAGGTTGTGATGATAGACACAAGGGATGTTGGTTGAATGGACAATACAGGAAGTGGAGAATATATTTTCATTTCAGTCTATTCTCCCAACATGTACTGACAGTGGCCTGTTATGTCTCAGAAAGAGTTATGTACCATATAGTTTACTGTCTCCGGAGCCCCACTGGTTAATTTTCAGGCTTTTAGAATCAATTCCTACTAGTTCCACCCACAATTCTTTTTCTTTTTTCTATGCTTTTGGATCTGTGCATCTCATTTTACCATCATAGAGCCAATTGACACACAAATAGCTGTTATGGCTTAGGGTAAGGCCCACAATGTACCTATCAGGAAAACTCTGGCTGCTCTCTGCCATCGTTTCCTGTAGGAAGGCGGTTGGAAACCAGTCGATTTAGCTCTTTGTCATTTACCTCAAGTTTCGCTCTCACCAGCTCTTCTCTTCTGAATATTTTGACACTGGCTTGATTTGGGCGATACTAAGCATTGTATGCTGTGAACAAAATGGATAGCTTGACCAAAATTAGAAGAAGTAACAGAGGGCGCCATGCATCATAAGAGAGAAGTAATAGAGCACTGGAAAGGAGAAACAGTATGTGAATTCGGTACTCTGTTAAGTGTCTATAATAATATACAGCATGTGAGTTCTGTGATAATGCCTTACCCCTTTGAGGATACCAGGCTGTGGTGAGAATAGAACAAAAACTTGTAGTGTTTACATCCACGCATCTGCACGCACACGCAAATATATACATGAAAAATCACTACACCACCACAGCTTTTCGAAACCATGGCCCAGGCAACAACAACTCTACCGGGTTTACATCGTTTACAATTTACCCTCAGAATTGAAACCATAAGGGGTAGTTCCCATTTTATCATTCCAGGGGCCACCGGGTTCCCCGTCAGGATCGCTCCTGATGGTAGAACATCCGTTGCAAATGCAAGTGCGCTAGCAAATGAAACCAAGAGCACATTGGGACGACTAGAGCTCTGGACAGATGGGTTATTCGATGATAAGGAGGGCGCTGGAGCTATAGCCATCATGCGCAAAAAGGGCGCAGGGAATTGGAAGAGGGACTGTCAGGTCTTAGACTTCCCGCATAGAAGAAGCGGGTTCTTCGCAGGAGCACGGGCAACAAGCAATGGCACTGAGATGTTCGCCCACTTGAGGGCAATCGAGATTGCTACCGTAGAAGACTTGAACAAATCAAAAGGAGTCACTGAGATTCAAATATTTTCTGACAGTATAGACAGCCTTCGAGAAGATCGCAAAGGCCCAACACAAGGGGAAACCCCCTTGGTGACATAATTATAAGAGGAAGACAACGCCTACATCATGAACACTCCCTGACCCTTAATTGGGTCAAAGAACATGTGGGACTGAGAGGAAATATGCTGGCCCTCTCGAAGGTCAAGATCGAAGGTGGGGTGTTACAGTGGTAAGGCGACTATACTTCTCCTATGCGTAAAAGAAACAGTGGAAGAAACCAGGTAATCAGGGCATCGGATTGCACCACAATGATCCAACTACCGCTAGTGGCATACGTCCATTCACCCAACCCAGACTCTTTTCATTGAGAAAAAGTCATTTCTTATGTATTATTGAAACCCTAGAAGTGCCCTGGAGATACATTTTAAGGATTGGGGATTGATCGATCTCTTTATTGTCGTTATTTACGGATATACTTAAACGCCAGAAGTTAAGAGTTAGAATTCCGATCATGGGAGTTGACGTTGTTGATATTCCAGATATCTTGGCATTGCTGACCCATTTTTCTACGTAGGGCCTCCGGCCTCCCGCCTTCACAGCACACAGACCATCACCACAGCATCGCAGCATCGACCGCTCCGCTGAAGACTGAAGGGTGGTGACAACTTTACGTGCATTCTCCTGCTCTTATCACTTGTTTTACTACCTGTACCACAACATCCAACTCACACAAACCTGTCCACCTTCACACCTTCCCCGGCCTTTCCCCATCTGTCCATTCCATCCTCACACAATCTTTCTTCACTCCTCCCTCCTCGCCGTCCACCATGCCGGCCACCACAGCAGAAACCCTCGCATTAACATCCCGAACCGTCTCCGTTGCGCCGCTCGTTCTTCTCTCGGTTGCAGATCACTATGGAAGAACAGCAAAGGGCACCAAGAAGCGAGTAGTGGGTGTTCTACTGGGCCAGAACGATGGTCGGAATGTGCGAGTGTCCAATAGCTTTGCTGGTAGGTCCCATCTATCATCCATCAGCTCCAGCTCACCATCCGCTAACGAATTTCCTTAGTGCCATTTGAGGAGGACGAGAAAGACCCATCGGTGTGGTTCCTCGATCACAACTATGTCGAGTCGATGAACGACATGTTCAAGAAGGTCAACGCTCGGGAAAAGTTAATAGGATGGTATCACTCCGGACCGAAGCTACGAGCCTCAGATTTGGAGATCAACGAACTGTTCAAGCGATACACCTCCGATCCTCTGCTTGTGATCATCGACGTGCAACCGAAAGAGGTTGGCGTACCTACAGATGCCTACTTCGCCGTGGAAGAAATCAAAGATGTATGCTGCCATTCATGACATCTCATATTCCATGTCTAACAGAGCAAACAGGACGGCACCACCACCACCAAAACCTTCGTCCACACCCCCTCCACCATCGAAGCCGAAGAGGCCGAAGAAATCGGCGTTGAACACCTCCTCCGCGACATCCGCGACGTCGCTGTCGGCACCCTCTCCACCCGCATCACCTCCCAGCTCCAATCCCTGCAAGGCCTGCACCTCCGCCTCCGCGACATCGGCCACTACCTCCAAAAAGTCCTCGACGGCGAACTGCCCGTGAACCACGCGATCCTCGGCAACCTGCAAGACGTGTTCAACCTGCTCCCGAACCTTTCGACGCCCAAACCCACCGCGGCGACGGCCGACGCGACGCCCGGGATGCCGACGGTGGATAACTCGGAACTGTCGCGCGCGATGAGCATCAAGACGAACGATCAGCTGATGTCGATCTACCTAAGCAGCTTGATCCGTGCGATCACGGCGTTCCACGATCTGATCGAGAATAAGATTCAGAATCGGCAGCAGCAGGAGGAAAAGGATGCGGGGACCGGGGCGGAGAAGGATGAGAAGGAGAAGGCGGAGGGGAAGGATGGGGAGAAGAAGGAGGAGGATAAGGAGGGGAAGGCGAATGGGGTGAATGGGGAGACGAAAGGGAAAGGAAAGGAGGGTGAGGGGAAGAAGTCATAAATCGGGTTCATCATCTTGGATCGCACAAAACGGGTACCGTACACCGATTGCTGTCTGAGATTTATGGTCTTGGTGGGTACATCACTCGGCGCTACAAGTGGCCCTGCCTTCATATCGCAGGGTAGTCATACAGGGCGTAATTCCTGCGCGGGAGTTCAGGACGGTAACTAGAGCCTCACAGCCACTCGTCATCGTCAACACGATACGAACATGATTCATACATTCGTCTCATCATTCATCCTGATACTCCCGCTCGCTCTATGCAAAATTGTATATCAACACCTTCTGCCCCCCCTCCTCCCTCCCCTTCCACACCACCACATTCTCCTCATCAAACCCCACCCACCCCGGCTGCGGCACATGCCCCAGCCACAGCTGCACCCGATTATATCTCGCCGCCGTCACCGGACACATCTCCTCCGGCCCCTCCACCCCCGGATCCACAATCACACTGGTCGCGTCCTCCGCCCCCCGTGGCCCCCCGAACCCCTCCAACTCCCACACCCGCACCTCCCCCTCCTCCCCCCGTCCCACGCTCACCGCCCGCCCTTTTGGCGACACGTGCGCCGCCGTCACTGCCGATAAATGCCCCCAGAGTACCCGCCCCGCGGAGATCGCCAGCCCCTCCGGCGTCGACGTGACCATCGACAATGTCAACGTGTTCTCTGGGTGTGCCATGAGCAGATACGGATGGCTGTAGCTCAGCGCGGTGGGTCGGGAATGGCGGACGAGGCGGGGGATACTCGGGGTTACGGAGCTTTCTCCTGCGCGCGGGTGCGCGACGGCGGTGCGGGAGGAGAGGAGGACGCCGGTGAGGGAGAGGCGGAGTTCTTGGAGGCCGGATTTCCAGGGGAGGAAGGGAGAGGAGACAGGGTAGGCGATGGAGGCGGTGAGGAGAGTTGGGGATTGGCGGAGGGAGAGGGAGACGGGGGGGGAGACGGTTTGGGAGGTGAAGGAGTGGAGGAGGTGGGGAGAGGAGAGGGGAGAGGGGGAAGGGAAGCGGTAGAGGGAGAGGAGGTGGGTGGAGGAGAGGGTGAGGATGAATGGTAGGGATAGCGCGACTGCTGTGATCGCGCCGTTGCTTGATGGGGGGTGGGTGTATACTGGGGAGAGTGTCGAGGAGCGGATCGAATGTTCGTAGACGGAAAATCGACCGTTCTGAAACCCGATGGTAATTCTGTGCGCCCCATCCTGGGTATCCTGTGCGTCCACCGCGATCGCCGTCGGCGGATTTCGCTCCTCGTCTTGGAGATTGTAGCACGCTAGCAGTCGCTGCCTCGTCTTCGCCGAAAACGCCCGCAGCCCGCCGACCGAGTCGACCGTGTATATAACGCCCTTGTGGAACCGAACCAGCAACGACGGGACCGGCGGTTCCTCCGACACCTCGAGCTCCGCGACGTTACAGGTCCCTTTCGCCCAGTTATGCCGCAGCTTGTATTGCCGCTTCCAGTTCGTCTCCGTCCCTCGCTTCACCAGATTCTCCTCGTCCAGCCATTTCGAGATCTTCGAGGAGAAATGTAACTGCTCCGAGACGCGCTCCGACTCTTTCAGGTTCGGGATGCGGGACGCGCGCGGGCGGACGAACCGGTCGTAGTAGAGCGCTTTCCACAGCTGTGAATCGCCGCCGATACGGTTGAACTTACGGGATATACTGGGTGTTCGTGTCAGTGGATAGGCCGGGGACAGGGACCTGGAGGCTCACTTTTGGGTGTGGATAAGGCTCTCGATCGGCAGGAAAGACAGGATCCGGACCAGAACCTCATCGCTCAGACTCGATATCCGGTCCACCTGCCGTACCCTCTTCCGCACCGGCTGATCCGAGGCATCCTCAAGGTCTCGCTTCATTTCGCGAGCGCCCAGCTTACCGGTTTGAATCCTAGAAGTAAATATGACTGGTTTATAGCAGAATGACGATCAGCATTCGATATGTACGCAGAGATGTTGGACGTGGCCAATCTGATATCTCCAAGTCATTGAACGAGGCGGTGGGTCTTTCTGCCTCAGGCCTGAACATTTATCGATCAATCTGATAACAATTCTTGGCATGTCACCTGACTTCGCGTCTACTTTCTGGACGCGACTCGCGCGTCAACGATTGTCTCATATATGTATCAGACGCCCTGGATGCGCTGGATCCTGTGGATGCCGTGGATGTATCGGATTTTCAACATTCACAACACTCACGAAACCCAATGCGCCTTCCCTCGCAACGACCATTACGACATATAATGACTGCGATCTCGATTCGTACAGGCTCCATTCGTGGCTAAGAACCATCCTCCGCGTTGCCACTGCTCTGCATTTTAGCCTGGATGATATTTGTCGGATTCGATCGCTGCAGATGGCGTCGGAGGAGTGGTTGCAGCATCAAAACAATGCTATTACGATAGCACTGAAGAACGTCTCCGGTGTATTCGAAGACAGCCTCTCTCAACTCAAAGAACATGGTAATCATGCTTTGCGGCTGAAGCGGGGTCCAACGTTAACATTTCGCAGTGAAGCTATGCGAGGGACGAATTAAGGACAAAGATGATACGATTGATGTATTACGGCATTCAAATGAATCGCTCGAAGAGGAAAACCGCCGTCTTCGGGAACAGCTGCTCTCTAGATCGGCAACAAAAGGCCGCACGAATGACCCGGACTCGACAGTCAATTATGAAGAACTTCAACGGAATATAAACGCATTGACAGAAACCAATGCCAACCTCCAAACCAGCACCGATCTGGCAGTGAAGCGGTTGAAGGAGGCCAAGACATTGGTGGTGTCATGGCAGAAATACTTCGAGAAGAAACATGGCGTGTGCTGCGGGCCAGGAGTTGTCTCGCAGATGAAAGGATTTCGCGACTGCACCAGTAGCGCAGGGCGGGCGACTACACCCCCCAGGAATATTATGTCCCTAGCTTCGAATCCTTTACCTGATCCGCTAGTCATACCCGAGTCGCCGTCAGTTGCACGGCACTATGATATTGAAGAACGTCAAAGACTGAGTTCTTCGATCGACCACCCGCCCGCTGACAACATTCATCGGACGACAATGGAGCTGTCCAAGCAATCTACGTTGCCAAATGGCCAGAATATGCCAATGGAAAGAATCATAGGCTATTCGACAAATGACGTCGTGAAGTCGAGCCAGGCGACCGAAGGCGAGCCATTGTCTTTAGGAGCCCAGGAAGAATCCCTTAACCAAAGAGATGAGGACGAACCGGTCGTTGTATCGGAGCGTCTATTGCCACGGAGACGACCAGCTCGCACTTCAAGCACGGCCGACCCATCGCGAGGATCGCCAGAAGACCCCATCGTTGTCAAGGAAGAAACAATGAGCAGCCAGGCCACTGAAGGCATGAAGAGAACCTTGGGACGGGTTGAGACGCTGGATGATGAGACGCAGTTCTCGAAGTTCTCACCACGGAAACGAATGAAGATGGCGCCTCCCCTTTCTGCGCAACTCTCATCTAGTTCCGTTGGTATACCTGATCGAGCGTGTAGCCTCCCAGCCGAGGAAAGCCAGAGAATGACAGGCGACGACCGTCGCCGGGTAAGCGGATCTCATTTGCAAACACCCGCAGCTCTACCCCGGCCGCAAAGCGATCCCGAATGGAATGAAGCAGAAGACGATATGGTGTTTGACCAACATCAAGCTACCTTGAACGCATCAAAACGAATTCCACAAGAAAGGTTCCTCCATCCTATTGACGCAAATTTCCTACCTCGAGCTACGATATCAGAGAGCAGGAGAGGGAGTAGGCGTAAGATGGGAAGCAGTGAGCACAAGATTGGCTATTTGGCTGAAGATGCGACCCTCACAGATCAGACGAATACTCCACATCAAGAGAAGAACGTCCGCTCTGAAGATCGCCTGTTCACACTACTCGCGGCTGCCGAGCCATCCCCAAGACAGACGATCACTCCGCGACGCAGTCCTAGTGCTGATCGACGCCTGCGAAAATCACTTCCGAGCCACGCACCGGAGCCGAGAACGGCCCGGAAGACAAGAAGTAAACAGGTTGCAAACGTCCCAACCCCACAGTCCGCGCCGCCCCGGACGAGGGTAGCCTCCACTGAAGTGGGAGGTCCTAGTAAACAATTCCCGACAAAGCGGCTTCGCGATCTTCCTGTCCGCGAGCTAAATCTAGAAGACTTCCGGGTCAACCCCAACCTGAACGAGGGCATAATGCATGCATTTAGCGAGGTCGTCCGTGGCCATGCACGAAAATGCCTCCCCGGCTGCACCGATCCATCGTGTTGCGGGCAAAACTTCCTGGCCATGGCCGAAAACGCCGGACCCGAAATGTTCGACGTGCCGAAGGGGTTCGCCTCCTCGCAGGAGAGCATTTCCGCCGAGGAGCACGAACGCGACGACCAAGGCAACTTCATCGTCACCGCCCGAGTCGGCGGTACCAAAACCGCACTCCATCCCAACGACATCCGCGTCCTGAAGAACTACCTCGGCCAAGCGTTTTCCTTCGATCTCCTCTCCTCCATGAACGCAAAGGGCTTGAAGGACACGGTCTCCGAGGCGCGGGCAGATTGGTTGTCCGAGAAATATGGCAGGCACCGTCAGGCGTTCACGCGCAGGCCGACGCCGCCGCTGTATTGGAGGACGGATATGCCAAGCACGCAGGAGTTGGAGAAGCAGAGGAAGGAAGCAAAGGAAGCGAATGCTAAGGAGGTGCAGGAGAGGGCACGGATAGCACTTCGAGGGGGGGGCAGATGGGTATTCAGGGATGAAGTATGACATCTCTAACGACTCTGGTCATTCGGGCGGAATCTGTCTTTAGCTCGGCCTAGTAACGATACAGAATCATGGCCACTACGCCTGTTTATGCCGGTGTCTATGTACGACTATCCTGTATGCTAGTTGTTCACTGTAGAATCCATGCGTATCCGGCAATTGAATGTAGAATCCCGAGGGCAGTGTTAATGTTCGCCCACATCAACGACCAGACCAGTTAGTCACGGTGGACAATTCATCCAGCCGCTTGGCCCGTCCTAAATAGGTTTACGGTGCGCAATCATCAAGGCTTGTCTCCATTGTCCCCATAACTGTTAACGCCGATATTACTCGAATAGGTCGTAGTGCGAAAGTCAAGCAACAAGGAATAATGACGACGCCAGGATTTTGTTGCTGACTCGTCTATATATACCATTCAATTCACCAACCCCCAAGAGCATCGTTCTTTAATTGCCGTGCTTCTCCGTGGTTCCAGGAAGCAACTTCCCCAAACCTTCCGCTTTCCGACCCTGCGGTGGAATTCACGGAATGCATACCTCAGCATGCGTTCTATGGCGCCAGTCCCCCAAATTCTCCGCCGCGAGACTGCGACGAGCTTATAGTCGAGCACGCATTCATATCCCGCCGCCCCTTCCGGTGACCGCAACATGTCCGCCTGCAACATGTTCCTGCAGGCCGATGCCAGCGGATCTGGATATCGACCATAAGACTGTGATGGGCAATAGCGTAGCTCCATATTCGGAGCATGTGCTGGTTTCGACGGGACGAAGCGATTGGCCGAGCAGGATAGAGGACGATGAGTCCACTCCGGTCGTCGCGGCACTAAAGGGGGCGTTTGGGAGAGGAGGGAAGTACACCGATGTTCGTTAGTGTCCCGTATCGAACGTGTTTTCTGCGCTGCTAACGATTCAAGTAGCCATTTCATAATGTATTGACCTCCACATCGTCGTTGAAACCGACCGACTCGACCGCAGATACCAGCTCCGTTCTCCTATTCCCCAGCTTTCAATACTTCCCTCGGATCGAGAATACATCCCCCGCAATGGAGGCGCTAGTCAAGGGATATCTGCTCCCGACAACGCTCCACAAACACCATGACGTCTTGTCTCCGGAACAGAAAGCTGGCCTGACCAGGGACGAAAGCTTTCGGTCCGAGCTCGATGTCAAGCCCGTGCAGGACGTAACTGTCCTCATTTGCGGCCATGGAGCACGAGACAACAGATGTGGTGTCCTGGGACCTTTATTACAAGCTGAGTTCGAGGATAAGCTTGCGATGGCCGGCTTCGATGTGCGGCAAGATCCGCCGGGATCCGCTCCGGAGAATGGGCAGAGTAGCTCAAGGCCGGAGACGGCGCTTACAGCAAGAGTTGGTCTCATCAGTCATATTGGCGGGCATAAGTTCGCGGGCAATGTCATCATCTACATGCCGAACTCGAGCAGCAGTCATGGGCTGTCGGGCAAGGGGATTTGGTATGGACGGGTCGAGCCAAAGCACGTGGAGGGGATCATTAAAGAAACCATCCAAGAAGGAAGAGTGATCAAAGAACTGTTCCGGGGTGGAATAGGGCGGCATAGTGAGCCGCTGAGATTATAGCATGACGATAGAGCCTTGTACAAATAGATGTAGAGAGTCATGCAGCGAGGATAGCAACTTGACGCCACTCCATCAATAATTCCACCCTTAATCCATCTTGTATTAGATATTCAATATCTACTGTTCAATACGCCCCAGAACTTTTTTACCATTCTCTCTCCATAGCAATGATATGGCACGTTCGCATTTTCTTCGGAGTTTACGTCCAAGCTCCGAGCCGTATCAACTTCCCCAGTTCTGCGGATTCTTCCCGAACATCTCTTCCTCCGTTTAAGTGAAATATTTCGACGCCATCCATGAATCCATCGAAGCTGCGGAGTCTACGACCCACCATTGGAGCAATCGCATGCTTCGGCGGCGCAGCTTTCTTCGGAACATGGTACAGACGATCATTCGCAGATCGTAGCACCGCGAGTCGAACCTTCGATCCGGACTACTTCTCACAATTCACCCTCGAGTCAAAGCAGCCCGTTTCCTCTACAAGCGCCATATTCACCCTACGCCAGCACATCCCCGGCAAAGACGAGGCCGATAAGCTTCAAGCTTTCAACGAACGTTTCTGGAGAACGCTTTGGAGCGTGCAGATTAAGCAGCCCCAACTTCAAATCGGGAGGGATTACACGCCGCTACCCCCTTTACTCGACGATGATGGCTCTACGAACCATTCCAACTCGATCAAGCTCCGTCTATACGTCCGCGCGTATAACCCTGGAGAAATGTCCTCCTACATCCACCGCCTACCAATAGCTGGAAAGCTAGACCTCCGAGGACCGCATAATGAACTCGCTGTGGATGGCGATATAGAAGAGGTTGTCTTTCTTGCTGGAGGGACGGGGATTGCTCCAGCTATGCAAATGGCATACGCGCTGTCGCAGTATCCAAATGCTCGCATGTCCATTTTGTGGGCATGTAGGCAACGCGAAGATTGCGCTGGTGGAGAGGGCAGTGTAGTACCCCCCTCGAAGTCGTGGAAAGATCGACTATCTGGATCGAAGCAAATCCCTGTTGCGATTTCCGCTGGCCCCAAGAGCCCGATTGTCGAGGAGCTCGAAGGGTTACAGAAACGCTGGAACGATGGCTCCGATTCAGCGGGTGGGCGACTACGGATACAGTACTTTGTGGACGAAGAGGGGACGTTCATCAACTACAAGGAGGTCATGACGCTAGCTAAGCCCAGCGCACCTGCAAGTCCTTCTTCTCGTGGGAAGAAGGTCCTGTTTGTCTCCGGCCCTGATGGTTTCATCAACTATTGGGCTGGTCCGAAGGTATGGCGTGATGGCCAAGAACAGCAAGGACGGTTAGGTGGAGTCCTCGCCCGCCTAAATCTACGGGACTGGACCGTATGGAAGCTATAGACGTCGAATGTGCAGTGACAGGAATTTATGCAGCGTTTGATGCTCTGCTGGATTCCGCTGCTGCCCTCTATCTCGGAGACGTTGTTCCCGGCGCTTTGGAGATCCCCCGATGCCCACGATCATGCCGCTCAGACGCTGCTGGAGAGAAATAAAGATGAAGAACACGCTCGTGTGGCAGACCCTCAACTTCTTCGCGCTCGCGTCCATGAGGATGTGTCTCGTCTCCCGGTTCGGAGACCACGTCCGCAATGATGGCTGTCTCGGAGGTCGCAGGAAAGCCGAAAGGCCTTTGCAGGACGCGATACTCGCGTGATTTTGTCAATCTAACCGCTCCCCCAAAGGGTTCCAGGCCTATCATCCGAGCTAAGCCTTTCCGATCTTTCAGCAAAGCGCCAAAACAAGTCTACGTAGGCAGAAGAACGATTCACAGGACGCACAACCTAGTATCTGCCATCGTGCAGTCGAATTGCTGCTGTTCTGTTAATCTTTATCGGCCACGCTATTCATCTCATGGAGATTTTGGAATCGGTGCCATGCCGAGCAGGAAAGGTTTCCTGGTCGAATATTTTGAGAGCAGTATCTATCCAGCAACTCTTCTACGATACTGGCGGTCTCTCCCTGGCAATGACTGAGTGTGGGACACGGGGACTATGGGGAGAGTTTGGAACCGTTGCACAATCATGCAACTATCTTCCCATTTCGTCTTTTGACCTTGACGAGTCGCGTTGGTAGTTCGTGATGGCTCGACTGGGGACAGCCCTTTGGTGGTGCTGGAGACATGTCGAAAGCCATTGTCGAGCCTGCTCAAAATTCTTTCCCCCGATTCTAGTCGTCGATGGGCGATTGTTCGCGACGTAAGCCCCGAAATCTATACTGGAATTAGCGAATGCGTTTCTGTACAAGGTTGTATGGCATTTACATGCGCTTAACAGTAAACGAAACCCCCCCCAAGCTGTCACTGGCGAATCCTTCTCTAAACGAGAACCAGACAATGATTTTCGGGGTTTGTGTATATAATAAAGAGCCACCCAACTTTGATTTCAAACACTTAATTAGCAGTCGCCACCCGTGCTATTCATAGAGTATAGGGACATTTATCCATAACGGTGGTGAGGGGGGAGGTTAATGAAATCTTAAGAAAATATCAGAAAGCGAATTCCATGATTGAAACTCTTCCAGACAGGTACCCAAACCCAACAATGCCCCCATAAATAGCAACGCAGTATGGCCGATGCTCGGGTGGAAGCCAAAGAACCCGGTCAGTATAACGACAACTCACCCATTGGTCCTCAACGAAGATGAAGGGTCGATCCTGTGGTTGGGAAACAGCTGTCCCATCAGAGATAGATAATGAAAGATTGAACGAACCAACATTGGCCTGGGGAGAGGTGCCGTCCGGCGAGAAGGCTACGGCCCAGATCACGTCCGCATGGCCCTCGGGCGTCTGCAGCAGCGCGCCCATCCGGCGTCCCACAGCTTGGCTGTGCTGTCGCTCGAGTCCGACGCCAGTGTCTTGCCGTCCGGTGAGAAGGCCATAGTCCAGACCCCGCCTGTATGGCCCTCGAGCGTCTGCAGCACGGCATTCCACTTCTCCACTACCCTTGGCAACCTTCGTATCCATCTAGGTATGCATTGTTTAAACTTCTCCTTTATTATGCTCTTCGCCGGTGCGAAGGCGAGGGCACTGCAGTACGTCTGAAGGGGAGCCTGCTCGATAGCTGGCCGGTTATAGAGGACGAACCGCTTCGTATCATCGATGAAATCCGAAAGACCAGGACAGTTCACTTGACTAACCGAATTGTTAGCGTAAACTTTCGCTGCGCTGGAGGAGTACTGACCGAAGCAAATGACTCTAAAGATGCGATAGCATAGACTCCTTCCGAAATCTTCCCCATCCATCCAAGGGCCTCTAGCCAGTGGAGCAGGTGCTCCTGTATGAAACGGTGTACTTGGACTTCGAGATGAGCACCGCTCCTCCGAAGATGCTGTACCCAATAAAGACATGCATACGGAACATATGGAAGAAGGTGATTCTCCACATGACAGGTTTCAACGTCAGCCACAAGTGCTCCTGGCGGGTCAATATCAAGAATATCTCGTTTGAGCGATTTAGATATGAGTTGTATACATTTTGTGGCTAGGGCCTGGTGCGCTTGCTTCTCGTCGACCCAAAAATCTCCGCATCTCGTCTTTTCGTAAAGGAAACCCCGGAATGAAGGATGATGAATACGGGGTGGACGGCTTTGCTCTTTAGGAATGTCGAGAATCGCGTGGAGATCAGCAAGTGTTTGATCTACTTTGTCTTGAGGGATCCTGAGTAGTTTGCTTAAAGACTGGGCAGAGAGCGGAGAGAATAGTCACAATGCTTCCAAGCAGGCTTCTCAGCTTAGATAATCGCTCTTCTACCTCTTCATCTGAATAGGCTGGAGATATACAGTGGCGAAGAACAGTAGTATAGATCTCGTTGAGATGCTTCTCCGGCGCATTAATTGCAGTGCTGCTATGGTTTAGGATTATGTTTAGTCTCTTTGCTGCAAAGCTTTCCCCTTCGCGGATGAAGCGGCATGCAGTGGCCGCCCAGATGAATAGCCCATTTGCACTGTGAACGAGTTGTTCAACGAGTTGCTCAACGTTCTGCTCGCCAGCCAGCCAGCATCAGGATAGTGCCTATGAGCAATACGTTCGAGCTCGTGCCGCAAGAATATGCGGATATCGTGATCGACAATCGACGACGATATTTTGTGGAGTACAAAATCCTGATGCACGGCATCTAGGATGGTCGAAGCTGTTGCGGATGGGAACCTCAGGCCGGCTGGTTAAGAATACTCGAAGCTGGACCGTCTCTAAGGATTGAGCCTCCGCTAATAGTTCTAGAATAGTCCGGATGTCATTCTCGTCCTCGCACTCATCAAGCGCGTCAACGATAAGAATATATCGGGACTGGTTGCTGCTGCCTGGCAGCTTCGATAGTGGGCCATAAATCAGATGCCGCCATTGTTTGTGGATATTGGGATGGTGGGGGATGGAGCCGCTAGCCATTATTGAACATCATCACCGTTGCATTCTGACTAGGTTGAGAGTTTAGGATATAGTTCTCATTTGCGCTCTCGGTCGCATAGATGTTGTAATAGACAAGCAGATGTTGAGTTGCTTGATTGAATGCTGAGTCTGTTGCGATGCTTACGAATAACTAATAAGTCCATACATACACCCTTGACTCCCGTAACAGCCTCAACGTACACCCCAAGTCCCCAACCATGCCTCCAGCAATCCAGCTACACCTGCATCACGTGAAGTAAGAATCCTACATTCGGATCGGCCTATTTACAAAGCGTACCAATCACTAAGACACTGCTACTGACTCAATAGAAAAGCCACTGGAGCGAGCAAGTGTTAACTAGGCACCGTTGGCAAGGGATTGATTGGCCGACTATTGATAGCGAATTTGGCACGAGAGCGAAACGCAAGGGAAAATAACCTGCAAAACGCTCTCTAGAAACCTGAGAAATTCCAGAACCTTTTCCCTACAGATTTACTTAAGCTGGGGACAATGACTTATGCGATCCATGCTGGCTTCAAATGGGGTTTTCAAGATCGAAGATTGTGGCATATCCGTATAATTCAAACAAGGCTCGACTCTGCCTGACTGGTCGTGATGCTCAGAGGAACTCATGTAGCGGCAGCATGCATGGATGTGTATCACACGAGGCTGAGCATAACTTGAATCATCGTCCACTCGGACAGTAGGATTGTAAACTGTGACTTGATTCAGCTGCCCGGAAGAGGATCAAAGGCTTAATGGAGAATAATAGATGGCTGACGTCTGGCATAACATGAGGAATAACACAAGAATAACGATGCAAAGGAACTTAAAGAAAGGCTAATAGGCGTATCAAATTCGATGGTTTAGACAACAATAGACCATTCAAATCTCTAAATGCATTTTGCATAAAACGAATGATGTTTAGAGCGAATTGGCATCGCTAGGCTAGCCATGTCATCAGGCTATCTAGAGTGCTAGGCCGATGCATCGTGGCAGGCTGAGCCACATAATTCTAGAACGCCAAATGAGAATAGATGGTTCGTCGAGGCGAAACCAATGCCATAAACAGTGTATGTAAGTAGATTGCGCATCGAGGAGATGGCAAGTTTGGGACTTCATCGGAGCGGATGTGGTCTACCCTTGTTAGACCTGAAATTGCGATGGATCATCGCCTTACCCATCAATCTCATCTCGGGAATCGGTACGGATATGGAGCAAGTTCCACACCGGGGAGATTCAATTCAGGGAAGCTCCAGGGTCTTCTGTATCTTCTCCTTGCTCCTAGTCATTACCACCCTCCTCTTCGTCGTCGGTGCAGGTCGTTGATCGATCATGTTTCCATCGTCCACGCGACCATGCGTGATGAGGGATCACATGGTATCATTATTATGCTTTGATTAACCTCTCAAACCGGAGATCCAGGCACCGGGGCGCTAACTGATACGTTTGAAACGGGGCTGAGCTGCTGAGGGAGATCATTGAGGGCCAGAGGTGCTAAACCCTGTCTCCACAGTCCATAGTCCCACAGTCCACGATCTTTGCCCGTCCTGTCTGCCCAATTCCCAATTTGCGCCACAGATTTGAGATTTGCCATGCGGCCCTTGTCGTTGGTCGACTGGGTTGCTGCGAGAAATCTTGCGTTGTTACGTGTGTAATTAGTTGGCAGGATATTGGCGTGTCAGGGATCGTAGAGTGGACTGTTCACCTTCTCACTCCTTGGCAACAACAGCAAACCTGATTCCTACCTGAATCTTGTTGCTTCGAGAAGGGGAGCCTTTGCTTCTCTCACACATGTTACAGCCGTTGCCCAATCCTCTCGCTCTGTGCTATTCACATTTCAGTCCAATCATTTGCATTCGGATCCTCTGACGCCCATTGTGACTTTGTGAGCCTCCTTGCTTACGTCGTCGGCCCATTCTGCTCCTCTCACTCCGCCATCTGCATCGCGATCCATCGGCATCGACACCTCACCTCACATCACATTCGACCTCGCATTCGACCTTTCATTTGACTTGCAACGACAATCAATCAATAGAAGCGCCTACGATAACTCCATATCCCGACCAATTTTCCAGCGAATCTGTCAATTAGCGAGTCGAATTGAAGCGCGAAGAAGCCATACGCCTGACGTCGATCGTGTAACAAACGAAATCCGATCCCAGCGAGATCTCCCAGCGCAGCTTCTCCGGCCTGGACAACCGTCGCACACTGCGTGGTCGGCAGGATGTCGAACTATGGGAAATGGTTTGACTTCTGTCGAGACTCGGGGAGTGCGAGAGCGACAATTCCAGGTGTGTATCCCATTGTTCTCTCAAAGCGGCTGTGTTTCACGTCACTGCAAGGCATTGTATGGACAAAATGCTAACATGTGTATGCGCAGTCTGTAATGTAAGAATACCGGGTCACGAATAATCAATGGGAGCGCGAATGCTGATAGATATAGCTCTTTAACGAATCGCCGACTCGAGGCGGTGACGGTTATGGCGGATGCGACCTAAACGGCATAACATTGAGCAACGACAATTATTTGGGAAACCTCGGTATGCGGAACCTCTCAGTACTTGCTCGATAACGGGCAATGCTGACAAGTCTATAGGATCGATATTGTTCTGCTTCGTTGCAATACTTGTCTCATTCTTTTTGCTATGGCGTTCACAAATGAAGAAGGCGGCAGTAGGCCGAAGGTGCGACGTCAAAGTGTTCACATGAAAGAGCCATATGTTGACAATCACCACAGAGAGATGCAAATGTTCCTCATTGGCTATATAATCGTTTCGATTTGCGAAATCTTCTCCGTCGGTTTCTTCCCGCTCGACGGGAAGGTTCGAATTGTACGGTTCCCCTAGTTACGATTTGGGTTATGGATTAGGAACGAAATAACTAACCTCTCAGGTCTTCTCCGCTTTACACATCGCCGCCGTGATCGCATCAGTCTGGATGCTGATGCTCAACGGGGTTGTCGGCTATCAGCTCCTGGAAGATGGCACGCCACTCTCCATGGGATTGACCATCGTCTCGGCGCTCATTCTCTTCGTCGGCACCGGATATATCGCGCTTGATACGGGCTACAGCTGGACGGGATACTGGGACGACACCCTGAATCCACCAAACCAAGCATACGCGCTGTACACGCTGTATCTGCTTGCACCACTGGTGTTCCTGGTCGTCTTTTTCGTGCTAGAAACCTTCCTGGTCCTACGAATACTTGGGGAGAGAAAACCAATGCGTACGTTGCCCTACATCCTTTACCCCTAACAGACGTGCTGATTTCCATTTTGCCAACAGTGTACCTTGGCGCTGCTGCCCTTCTTTTCGCCCTCAGCCAGATCTTCCAATTCGTCGTTAGCGTGCACATCTGCACCGGCAGCAAAGGTCGCATTAACGGCGGCATGTTCGAGTCCCTCTTCGTCTTGCTTTCCGTCGTCATGATCTGGGTGTTCTGGTCGAGTATCACGGAAGACGACTGGCCCATCCCAGCAGCATGATAAGTGCTAGCAGTGCATGCGGTTGCTTTGATTGGTTTTGCATTTACTCAACTTCAAGAAGTATAATGCGTAATGAGGGTGTTTTGGGTATTTGCGAGATGAAAGGGAATGGCAGAGCTTGGGTAGAGTGAGCCGCGTTGGATCATGCATGGGTCGCAAGTCCTATTCGCTTTTCTATACCATTGCCTCGAGTACCCTCAGGAATGGATGGTAAACGCTCAAGAGTTGAAGAGCGAGGCATGAAGTGAGCGAAGCAGCAAGCGAACGAAGTGAACATTTTGGGATTATTTAGCACGGCGTTACATTAACAGGCCTTTGATATCCTACGCTTCTGCCTGGTCGTTCGGCTTGTGGATGGGAGGAGAGAAGGGATTGAGAACTGGCCGTGGATGGAGAGACGGCCAGCTTAATTTAGTTGAATACATCGAAATGAAATACTTTAGACTACTAAGGAGACTTGTTCGAAGCGATTCCCGCAGGTAATTTGACTCCTACTGGTATGCAAGTGACTTCGATTTAGGGAATCCAAGATAGCTGATAAATTTGATATCACGTGATACTGATCTCAACCTCAACTCATACTGATAGAGACCAACGATCTTCCGATCAACTTCTTCATACATTGTACATTAAATCCTTAATACACAGATTCTCTGTTTCCGTCCATCCTCATTACCCCCACCTGAAGATCTCCCGTGTCCCTCACCCAAACTTGTAGCCCACCCCACACCCGTGTCCCTCCCTCCGCCCATCCATCCACCCTCCAATAATCCCCATCTCCGCCCCTGCCTCCCATCCACCATGGATTCCGACGCCGAATACGTCGCGTCCCCCCCCTCCGCCGCCTCCCTCGACGTCGACCACGACACCGAGTCCTCCGGCCACGAAGGCTTCTCCATCAACGCGACCGCCCACAACAAGCGCTCGCGACGCGAAAACGGCAAGGAGAAGCGGAGGGAGAAAAGAGGGGAGAAAGCGCCACAAGGGAAGTCGTGGGAGGGCGGGGTAAAGGGGAAGAATCGGGGGTTGAGGGAGATTGGGGGAAGGATTGGGGCCAGTGTGGAGGAGTTGGTGGAGGCGAGGAAGAGGGAGAGGTGGGTTTAAGTTTTCCTTATATTCTAAGTCTGTGTGGTTTGTATGGTTTGTGATTGCTGTGTCTTGCAAGCGATTTAGAGGCCTAATCCTGTTGGAGGACCTTATGGTATAGTTGGATAAGAAGAAAAAGGATGATGAATGGAGAGAGGTGATTGTGGCAGATTACCATGTGAATGTTGTCAGTCCTGCGGGTAGCAGCAGTGATATGCATTCTTTAGAATCTCTTCCATACGATATTGTCATGTTTATTTTGGCCATGATCACTTTCACTTGCGAATATCGTATTCAATATTGCCCCTCTCTATTCAAACCCCCTTTGACCTCCTGAACATCAACAAGTCTCCATTTCAGTCTTCAAACCTAAACATTACTCAAGCATGCGTTCATACGATTCCAAAGCTCATAGACACACCAGACTCCGACAAGATACCCAGCCCTTCCAACGCGGCATCATCCGGCATGTCGTCCTCATCCTCGACCTCAGCGCCGCCATGGCCGAAAAAGACATGCGACCCACTCGCTACCTCGTCACCCTCAAGCACGCAACCACCTACGTCCGCGAATTCTTCGAGCAAAACCCCATCAGTCAGCTTGCCGTGATGGTCATGCACGACGGCCTCTGCCACCTGATCTCCGATTTGTCCGGCAACCCCACTCACCACATCACCGCCATCCAATCGCTCCGAAATCCAGTCAACCCTCGCGAGAGCCCGCGCGAACCGAAGGGGAATCCGTCATTACAGAACGCGCTGGAGATGGCGCGGGCGCAGCTGTATCACACGCCGAGTCACGGCACGCGGGAGGTGATCATCATCCTCGGCGCGCTGCTATCCCTCGACCCCGGGGACATCCACAAGACCATCGCGGCGTGCGCGCGTGACCGCCTCCGCGTCTCCATCATCGGCATGTCCGGCCGCTTGAAAATTTGCCAGGAGATCTGCGAGCGGACGAATTCCGGGTCCGATGCGAGCTACAATGTTGCGCTGGACGAGCCGCACCTCCGCGACCTGCTGATGAGCACCACGACGCCGCCAGCGATCCGGTCAGGGGCGACGGAGGGAACGGCGGAGGATGGGGCGGCTGGCCCCGTGGGCGCGTCGCTACTGTGCATGGGGTTTCCGTCGAGGACCATCACGGATGCGCCGTCGTTGTGTGCGTGCCATGGGACGCTGTCGAGAGGCGGGTATACCTGCTCGAGGTGCAAAGCCAAGCTGTGCAGTTTGCCAGCGACGTGCCCGGCGTGCGGGCTGACATTGATCCTCTCGACGCATCTGGCGCGGAGTTATCACCACCTATTTCCTCTGCGCAACTGGATTGCCGTGACCTGGAAACGAGCGAGGGAGAAAGGGACCGTACAGTGCGCTGGTTGTTTGATTAAGTTCCCGACGATACCTATGGGCGCTGGGGTGGACGATGTTGGCGGTAGTAGGAGAGATAAAGGAAAGGGGAGAGAGGATGAGGTGATGGAGAATGGAGGGGAAAGTCAAGAAGAAAGAGAACGGGATCAGTTGAGCAAGGAATTGGGCGCGAGTGAGAGCTCGCGGTACGAGTGTGAGGCTTGTGAAGGCCACTTCTGCATTGACTGCGATATCTTCAGTCATGAGCAGATGCATAATTGCCCAGGTTGTCTGTCAAAGCCCGCATTTTCAACGGTAATGGAAGAGGACGGAAACGAATTGGCGAATGGGACAGCCAATGGGATGAATGGACTTAACGGTGCCTCATAGCTCAGGCTGGGCGAGGAATCCTTATCTGCTGGCTAAACTTGGCCAGAGTTGGGCGCTACAGGTCGGGTAAAAGGCCATAAAGCAAGCGATTTACGTATCCGCATGGCGTTGGAACCATTGGAACATTAGGCTCTAGCATGGGAGTCTAGGAAACGGCCCTATAGAACAGGGTCAGGATAACTTTAGTCTAGGAATACTGAAGTCAAACCCAACACCGAGTATGCAATAGTACTAGTATTCATGAATAATGCCAACATGGAATGAACCCTTCTCCCCCTTTTCAGACCAAATTCAACTCATCGAAAGTTCCCACAACATCCAACAGCGCCGCCATGTCCTGCTCCGGGTTCCCCGGCCTCTGAACAAGCACGGATTGCATATCCGCTAACTTGGCCGCGAGGACCTCTATCATCTAGTCAGTACTCTGCTGCGTTCGCCATGCAATCGACCAGCTTACCTTTGTCACTATCACTCAAAAACAGAATGCTCTCGGGCTTCTTCCCCAGCGCTGCCGCAATCTTCACATAGCTCACCTGCTCCGCCTTCATCCCGGCATTCTGCGTATCGAAGTAATTTTGGTCGAAGTACCCTTCGTAATCCTTCACCGTATCCGGCCCTGGATTTTCTGGATCCTCGACATGCTGGAACAGCAGCCGTTGCGCCTGTACGCTCCCACTCGAATAGATCGCAAGCGTTTTGCCGTTCGCGGCCCAGCGATCAAAAGCGGGTTTGACGTCGGGGAACAGTCGAGCTCTCAGCACGCCGTCTCGGTAGCCTTGGCGCCAGACATGGCCTTGTAGTTGCTTGAGGCCGGGGTGCTTGATGTCCTTTTCGGTGAGATCATGCAGGTGGGTATAGAGATCTGCTGGACTGCGGCGGACCTCAGGGGGGAAGAGAGCGATGGGCTCGACGAGCGCGGGAATGGGTTTCTTGAAGTGCTGGTCGAGGAGCTTGGGAAGTCCTCGGAGAGCGTAGGGGTACTGGCGATGGTCAGTAGGGTGAAAGGAGAGGAGTAAGGGGACATACTAGCTCTTTTTTGACAAAGTCAATGGGAAGGATGGTGCCCTCTGTACATTGGTTCAAAAGAAGTCAGTTTGGTGTTATCGAAGAAAATTATATGACGATGAAGATCAATAATCGTATCATTAAACCCCAATATTCCATGCTCTTGAATTCGTCTGGGGCAATACAATATACTCTCGCTACTTTGGTGAAGGTCGATTATTGTACGCCTCGATCCAATATCAAATTCGTGATCTGATGCAGCGCTGCACTCACCGATATCGAGCAACACCACTTCCACTCCCTCAATCTTCATTTTCTCGCTCCTTGTCTATTGATCCGTAATCGATACTCACGATCCTATCAAGACTAGCGCCAACTGCGAACCCCGAACGTCCAGGTCAACCCTCAAAGTCTACTCCACCACTCTACCGGCTTCGACCGCCGTCTCGTGATTGCGGATAACCCACACGACCAATGCAATGCACGCTCGACGACTCTTCTGCCCCTATTGTCTGCAGCAGATGTTGGCTGCTATCCCAGGCGGTTGAATAGATTGGTACAAGGGTCCTTGCTCGTCCGCATCGATGGTTTTTGGCAGACGTCAGAACGGTGGTCTATCTTATCGGCGAAGCGCCAGGGTCCGATATTACACGGGCTGACGGGGTTTTGAAAATCCTGGGACAACGGCTGGGCGAAAGCGGCGGGATGTGAAACGCAATTTGGGAGATTTGGGATAGATTTGATGGGATTGGGATACGGTAATGTTTGATGGTGGGGTATTGGTGATGGTGATGTTGCGGTTCAGTGACGTGCTTTGTGCTCGATGTTCGTAAGTTTGCCATACCCGTATTCTATCTATTTCACTACGTGCATGATAGTTCTCTATCAGAGATGCCTGTGCTCCAACAGAACGGTCATATATTTCTTGTGCAGCTAATATCTCATTGTCGAACGACTAATCTTCGCTTATTCCCTTCACGTATCGTGTAGATGGCGTTTTTAGATCCTAGCAATCATTGAACCATTTCACGATGAATTGGAATCGCATACCTCCACCAAGAATACTTCCTCCGAGCGGTGAGAAAGCCACTGGACGATCTATCGACCGTCTCTCTCCATCTTCACCTCCACTTTGGAAGTAATTGCATCCACCCATCCTCAACAGAACCGTGCCGCAGAGCCATCTCACCTCGCCAAACATTCCGGTCTCTCAACGTCAAAATTCTTCAACATTTCATCTCGGACGTCAATCTCTGAACCTCAAGTCCGATTAGCAGTCCAATGAAAACCCAAGCCGTCAACGTATGGAAGCCATAATATGCAGCTAATGAGACCAGATGGCGGTGAAAGCGACGCTAACGATGCTCGAACTGGTGGAGCGGATCTGATTGATGAGATGGATGCAATATGCCAGATCATCACTTTGCATGTGCGTGAGTGCATGATGACATGGAGGAGGTATTCGAAATTGAATGAACTACCGGGGATAATTGACGGATCCAGATGAAGGATGGACTGAGCTGATTGTCCCGGACGGGACGATGGGGATGCCCAATCCAAGCAGGAAGTTTGAGAAAGTATTTCAACCCTCGTGCTAACAGACGATAAGCATCTCTTAACGATCTCGATCTTGTTTCTAGGTCTAGCCTTCGTTAAGCGTCTGCACTTTCCATCCTGTGTGGCAAAGCCCTCGATATCGAAGCGCAGCAACATCGAATAAACCAGGTCAATTGTGTATATTCGCCGCCACCAACCCTATATCTTCATGCTTCTAACAGTTTCGCACTCTCCTCTCTCAGCCTACCTCCCGACTTTACTATGTACATAGTGCTGTACGCACTACGCGGTATGCAAATTCTCCACACCATTTCTCCACCCTCATCTAATTAGGTCCGTAAGGCCTCTATACGCAGGCCACTACTGCACCTCTGCATTCTACCTGCACCTGCATATCCTCCGTCCCATCCACCCACCACTTGGAGCTCCAGGGCCCAGTTTCGCCCGTCCTCCGCTGCATATCTGCCCTCCTCTCTTACAGGCGTCATGCAGCCGCTCCTAGGTGCATAACCAGCAACGCCCGGAACCAACGAGGTTCGCAAATGGATGGGCTCCAAGAGCAGCCGAAATGGAACCACCAATGCGGATAAGAGAAATAGAAAAATTTGCTGCTTGTGAGATGGGGGATGTGGTCACCAGAACCAGGAGATCGTCGATAGGGTCGGATTATTGACTCGTGAGACTTATCGTGAGATTCGCTAACACAGTAGAGACCCTATGGGATTAATTAGAATGGCCAATTTGTTGAGCTGTTCAACGTCCTATAACGCTAATATATGTCCCTCAGCGTAGTCGCCAATGAGGACGAGACAGGTATTGTACTATGTAAGTCTTTACTATGTATGGAGAATCTTTCCTCAACCGCGTTTGCGAGTGTCTCGAGATGAAACTCCCAGGCAAACTTTGCGCTGCGCGAGGATTCGATTGTATTTCTGCATTTCACTATCCGATATCTGGATCGCGATCGAATCCCCTGTATTACTTCGCAAGATGACGCTACTCCAGTCTACCCGTCTCGCAAATGGCAAAATCGAAGATTCCATGACGAAAACACGATTCTGTGAATTGTTTTCTTTCAACCTCGAACATGGGCGACCAGACTCCATTTCTAATTTTCTACCCCAGAAAACTGTCCCCACTCTGAACGCACACGCACAGCATCGCTGCGCTCCCTCCCGCTGAACCCGCGGGCTAGATCCCAGCACCAGTCTCCGCGTCACTTGACCGTTTCTAACTCGCTTTTTCTGCCAAGCGTGGTCGAGACGAGGCAGGCCGCAGGACCTTCAAATTCTCCTAATTTCCATATCGGAATGCATGACACAACATCTTGAGCGTACCAAGGGCCCTGTCATGAATTGCAAAGAACGCCAATACCTGAATGACAAGAATTAGGATGCAGCATCTGACCCACGCCCCGACCCAGGAAAGGTGGTTATCCATGAGCGACGGAGCAGTATTGGAAAAGGTCATGCGGAGAAGCCCCTGAGTTAGTGGACGCCACGGACAGGAGCGTAGTGACTTTGTGGGGTGTCGCCGATCCACCCCGTTCTGATGATCGTGACTTGGGAACGTTAAGCGATGAGAGTTCAGGGTGGACTCAGGAGCACGTTGACAGAAGTCAAATAATTCCGAAGAGTCGATCACTGACTGGAAACCAACACAACAGCACATATGGGAGCAATAGTTTTATTGATCCATCCAAATTCTAAGACATGATGAGAATACACGACCTGAATCCTCAAACCTGCGAATCGCCAACCCCGGCGCCATGAACGCTTGGCCTAAGCGGGCTGCCGACCGGCCGCTTGCGGCATAGTCAAGTCCACGGAGGCACCGATGGCGCAAGTCGACAGCAAGTCAGCAACAGTGCTTTCCTGGCCATTGCTCGATGACGATGTCTTCTATTCTTAACCGCCCATTCTCTGGATATCCAAAATGTGGCACGGTTAGTCGAGGTCAAGCAATTAACTGCGCTGTGGAAGGCGGCTATGCATGTCCTGCTGGGACGGGAATATGCGGGGGGAGCTTGGAAGGAAGTAATACGAAGTCAGCCTCCGCGTTACGCTGCGGCACGGATACATACATTGTGAATCCTTCAAAGTCCAAAGCCCTCAATTCTCCCATATCGTCTTGTTAGCTACTACAACGACGCGACTTTCTCAGACTGCTTCGATGGCGGGGGGTATTGCAGAGGAAAATCGTCAAGTCATACAGTGTAGTCCGTAGCTGACAGCTGTACTCCAACGGGATTTTATGAATCCAGGATCGAGACGTTCAGTCGCGCTCAGTCTATCTCCTACCTCCAATAGCCACAACGAATACTCCATAAACATCAATCAGATCCTCAGCAGTCTACAAGAACTAGGGAGCATAACAATCAGGAATCAGGATACCTTACCTAGCCGCCTTGCCATGAGCACCCGTTCCCGTATTACCTACCACACGCCATCGATCCTGTCCCCTCCTCCCCGTCCAGTCTCCCCCACTGCCCGCTCGCGTTCTCACATCACGAAAGGTATACCAAACCGCGTCGGGTCCGTCGAGCGGCCTAGATCCCGGCCCACAATGCCGTGCGACGGAGCTGTGTCGAGGAGGGTCAGTGAAGAGAGGTTTAGAGGGGCTGGGTTGGGAGGACAGGGCGAGGTTGGAGTGGTACAGGTTTGTTAGGAGGAAAATGAAGGGGTACAGCAGGAGGGAGGGTTGGCGCGGTGATGCTACGGCGGGTATTCGCAGCATCGCTAGGCACTGCTTGTTATTGGCGTTAGTATTGAAGTCGGGAGGGTGCGGTTGGCGGCTGTTGGGAGATCATGCTCTGAATGATTGGAATTGAGATTTGAGAGGGGATGATAATTGATCGCTGATAAGAATCAAACTATCAAGGATTCACAACGATCCTGCTCACTGGGCTGATATCCAAGTCGTACGGATTGCCATCAAGGCCAAGCTCTCAACGTTAATATCGCCTTGCTAATCGGGCCCTGACGACACGAAAGTTCCTTATCCATGCCTACGCCCGTCATATCACAACCGCCTATTCCCATATTGCTCACTATCCATCTCATATCTGCTGCCAACCTGGCTCCCGAACGCTTCCCGCCGTCAATTAACATGAAGCAGCTGGGATGCTTCCCGCTGGGCTGGTCGGGAATAGGGGTGGGGGCGAATCGTTTCAGGATTTGTTACTCCCTACTACGGGATTCCCTCTACTGTGCATGTTGACTTTGTCTCGTGTTTGTGGTCAGGAGAGGATGGCTGGGTTGTTCTCGTTGGTACCCTAATAGCGGGGAGTTTCATGATAGTTGCGCTTATAGATGGAAAGGAGGGATGGAGAGAAGCGGGAGTTGGGTACGGGAATAGCAGTGGATTACTTGAGGGCGAGACATCTGTAAATGTTCATCGCAGCGGATAGTTTGAGAAGGACAATTGCCTCTCCTTATTCCAAAGCCATCGTCGAAGGCGAGACTCAAACCGACTCCTAAACATCCGATCCACCACGGTACTTCACGCATGTCTCAACTCCTAACTCCCAAAACCCCGTTTCCCAATTCCCCACAATCCGTTCTCGTATCCAACGCCCCAAACGCGGACAAGCGCCGTCTGAAACGCGCCCACGGAACCCGAAAGCCGAACCTGACGCACGCGACGATCGTTGCTGGCGAGGGACGAGCGGCACTTTCATGACGCAGCTAGGGCCCTGGATTCGCGGGGACGAGGAGGTAGGAGAGAGGTGATTCGCAGAGGGGAGAAGGGGACGGCATACATGGCGCTGCGGCGACGAAGGGGAGAGGGACACGTTGGTGGTGAAATGATGGGAGACGTGCGATAGGATAGGGTGGGTTGGTCGGGAGCGAGTTACGACCGTAATCCGCACAAGTGTCCCGATTCTGAGTTCTGACTAGCAGTACTTCTGGTACCTGAAGGAGTGGGCCCGTTCCACGGTGTCCTTTCGTCTTTGATACATTCACCTGACTCCGCTCCGTCCCAGACTCCCAGTCATCAAGTCATGGCGTTAGGATCTGAACACGTTGCATCTCTCACTCGAACGTCGGCAGTTCAGTTCCGTCCACCAAAACAATAAGCATTATTCCAGCAACTAAATATGTCTCAGGAGATGAATCCCTCGAGAAGGTTCTTTGCGCGGTCATCCACTCAGCACTGGCGTTCGATGGCGCTTCCGCAGCGGCCGCGTGATGGGCGCCTGTCATGCTGCCACTCTGCTCGAGACGGGGCAGGGTCGCAGGACACCCCTCATGACGACCTGTACGAACGATTGGAGCGAGGGGTGCTGGATAGTTGCGTCTGCTGTGTATTATTTAGAGAGAGGAGAACAGGCAACTGAAGCGGCTGCTGGTGCGGGAAATTGCACGACGTCAGCTGGTTGGATGACTTCGACTTGGGGAGATCCCTATTCCTGCTATTTGAGGGCAGCACTAGGATAAACAGGGTTAGTGTGAGTATGCACGGACTATTATTGATGCCGTTATTCCCGCTTTCGGAGGAACGCTAGATAGGATATGGAGGAGGTGTAACAATGTTGCCAAACACCGTTGGTGGATGGGACAACGCAGATTGGATTGAGAGTATTGAGGGAATGGGACAACAATGGAGAGCGGAGGCGTCATAGGACAATTCGCCATTCTTCCATGGCAATGACCGTTGAGGCTCCTCGCGATCCGAATTCCGACCGGTCCCCAAGGCTCCATGTGATGATCATGTGGTCTTTGAGCCCGCAACGTGCTTCTTTGTCCGAGTTCCGTGATGCGTTCTGATCTGTTCTTTTGAAAAGAGGGTCCAGTGATGACTGCACGGCCAAAATCGTCGTACGCAAATGAATGGGGGAATGCGGTAATTCTGGGGAGGTTGTCGTAATGGAATACCGGTACCTGACGTGAATGGGTGGTGGCAATTAGATGGTGTTAACAAGCATGTTTCTTTCACCATTATGCTTAATGTGGTATATTACCTATGACTCGTGGAGTTGGGGGGGGCGCAAACTGGCAAGATTACATTGTGATTGGCTGGGTTTTCATACAGGCTACTGCAGGCAGCTGCAGACACCCTTGTTGCTCGTTGTTTTGGGTGCGCTGAGGGTGTTTCTGGGCTGCCGGGCGCCTTGAATTCGATTGAACACTTGACTCCCCGACTCCCGGACTCCCGGCGCTCCAGTGGGTGGTGTGTTCTAGCAGCTTCTCTCGCAATCGCCGAGTCACTAAAACCCCCCTTAATCCGCGAACTACACCGCCCGCCATCGTTGCGAATTATTGATTCTTTACACCATTCACAACGCAGCGATCTTGCACCTGGAGTCACTGGACCCTCGAGCCATTGTTGCTAAGCTGCTTGAATCCCTCCGCCCTCCCCTGCTTTTCAACTCTTTCACTCTTCCACCCTCTTCTGGTGTCGCCTTTCAATTCCCATCCGATTCTTGACCTTCTCCCTCCCCCTCAATCCCTGCTGCGTTCACCCAATCTGCGTGTTGTTGCTCTTCACCGTCTTCTTCCCGCTGCCGCCCCTCCATCGTCCATCCCCCATCTCGACTCTCTCCAAACACCTGCAATCTCCCATATCTTCATCCCACCACCCACCTTAAGCTCCCATCTCGTATCTACTCCTAATCTTCATCCTCCCCTCTTCTTCACATCTCATGTCATAATCCTACCTACCTACTCATTTCTCTCACATCTATCTTCGTTCCTTCTTCCCATCCATTCGCATTCGTGTCGTCCACTCCTTGATCTTGAAGCCTCTTGCTATCGGTTGCTGTCATCACTCCTTCCAGGCTACCTAATTCCTGACTCAATTGCCTCTCTCTTCCACGCAACCACTTCCGCCTTCACTGCCACCTGACGAGATTCTACGCCTCTCGACCAGCGTCGTTCTAGAATTCGTTGCCGAAGACCCAGTCAAGAGCTTAAGCTTCGAAGGCTTCCTTCATTCCTGACTCCAACGTCACCTCCTCCACAACATTCCACCACCTCGTTTCCCTGACGCAACTACCCCCCAGCAAGGCTCTCAACCTCAAGGCTTGTGACGACTGAACCATATCCCTCCACTCTTCCCTTCTCCTCCGACCTTCACACACACCTACCTACCGATCCGCCACCTATACTCCTTATCACTCTCGTTCCTCCGTGCCACGACCATCTCCGGACCAAGCAACGCAAGCAATCCATCGTCTGATCAGATCAACCGCATTGATGAGAAGACTGCTTTGATCCGAAAGCGAAAGCCATCGACGACGACGTTGCTTCGTCTGTCCGATTAGCTCGTCCGTTTCAGTTCTTCCCGGGTCCCTTGCATCCCATTGCATCATCAATTTGGACGACCTATTGTTGCTCAGACCATCCATCCTATCACCACTCCAAGATCACTATTGATCTCATCCGGCTGTAACCTCCATTGATGATTCACCGGTCAAGCTCTCCAGCGTCGAAACATTGAACGGACACGGCATCGTGATCTCAGTCCGATAGCTCCAGCTCCTTCACGAACCGCCACGCCCGCGTCACCCGACGTTTATCACGACCATTTCCTCTGTCCCATTACGCACGACCGTCCCGACCGACCAGATCTGTCCTTTCACGATTTCTCTTCACTTCTGCCGCTCGTTCAAGTGGCCCTGTGGATATCCCGGGCGATATTCATACCGAACTTAATCTTGTTACCAATGAGAACGACCACAGTCTTTACTCTTTCTTGTGTTTAATACCTCTCGATCATCTCACTCTCACGAACCACGATTAGCGATATACCACTCTCCTCTTTCCGACTCTGTATAGTTTGTCCAGTCTTGAGCGAGTCTCGATACCTGATACCTGGATTCCTGGCGTTTTCCTATCCTGTTGCCTTCCGTTGGTCGAGTTACGACCCCCGCCTTTCACATTTCTGTCTTTGGAGAAAAGGACTCAAAAAGACTCGGTGGCCTTGATCTGCCTTTCTGCAAGATTGTCGTTTGCTACTATAACAGCGTTCCGTGGGCTTCATTTCTTTCGAGGTTTCGATCGGTTGGTGTTCTTTGACGGTTGGAAATTTCCCGGTGGTTCTTGATCGTTCCGTTCGCTCGTCACCAAGCATTCGTCGTTGACTCCGTCTTCGACGTGTTCGGTTACGGCACTCACCGTCGTTTTCTTCTCCAGAACTAGTCCATGGATTGCATGCGGAACGATTTCGAGGAGGGTGTCTTGCTCGATGGACGATATCGGACCATCGCACCTCTCAACCATGGCTCGTTTGGCATGGTCTTCAAAGCCAGGGATACGTTCACCGGTGACTTCGTAGCACTCAAGTGTCTCACGAAGCCATCGGCGGCGATCACGTGTCCTTCGGCCATTTCTGTGGATGATCGCTCCGAGGAACAGGCGATCCATCGTCGCATCGGTCACCACCGCAACATTGTCAATCTCCTACACTCGTTCGAGACCACGAATCACACCTACTTGGTTTTGGAGTATTGCACGAATGGCGACCTCTACGAAGCCATTCGCGTCGGCCGCGGACCCCTCGAAACGGAGCATGTCCGCGAATTCATGCTGGAACTCATCCGCGCCGTCGAGTTTATGCACGACAAGGATATCTACCACCGCGACATCAAGCCGGAGAACATTTTCCTTTCCCAGAACGGTTCCATGAAGCTTGGTGACTTTGGTTTGGCAACGTCCGACTCCCCGAGCTTCGAAGCAGCGGTCGGCAGCGATCGATACATGGCTCCCGAACAGTACGATCCATCACCCAGTGGCTATGATCCCGCCAAAGCCGACGTTTGGGCCATCGGTATCTGTCTCCTGAACGTCCTTTTCTCTCGGAACCCATTCGCCACGCCGACGATCTCGGATCCGCTTTTTGCCGACTTTGCGGGAGATCGACAGAACCTCTTCGACGTGTTCCCGAACATGTCACAAGACACCTTCGAGGTACTGATGCATTGTCTTGCACTCGATCCCGCCAGGCGCTCCTTGGCCAAGGTCAAGACCGCCCTCAAGCGCGTCGTCAGTTTCACCACCGAGAACGAGATGTTCGACGAATTCTGCACCGACGAGGTCACCTCCCCTGTTCCTGCCAGTGCCAACCGCGAGCCCCTTCGGACTCCGTCCGTCACGTCTCCCCAGGTCACCAACGGCGCCTTCCCATGGGCCAAGGCTCTTGCCATGTCTCCACCGCAACCGGTTCGACGCCTCAGTGCCATTCCGGACAGCGAATATGCCTCGGAGGATCTCTTTGGCACGTCCCAGCGATCGGGAGAGACGAGCGAGGATTGGTTCAGTGTCAAGCCCGACAGCGCCTCGATTTCCAGCGCCGTCGACTCTGGTCTTGGTGTCTCGCTGCAGTCCGAAGCCAATGCTGTCTCCATTGCACGTAGCAGGCCGATGAGGGTTCCCATCTCCGGATCACTACCAGCACCCGGACCCAACTTCTCGAGCATCTACGGCGGCAAAGGGCAGATCTTTTCCAAGAGCTGGTCCGATCTGTACGATGAAGAAAATGACGAGAACGAGAACAACGATGCCATCCACCACCAACAGGAGAACCAAAGCCAAGACCACCTCCCGTTCCCGGCATCGGACCTGCAGCTCGCCCCAGCCAAGACCATCACCGCGCTCAAGTCTCACGAACTGGTCGATTCTTCCCCGTCATCCGGCCGCGACACCCCTCGTGCTTCTGCCCTTCAGGAACACCCCAACCCGGCCGCCACCAACATCGCCCGTGTCCGCACCCCCTCCCGCGCCCGCAACAACGCCGACAACGTCTCTGTCTCCGAGCACACCGGCTTCTTCTTCGAAGACTGCAACGTCACACCCACCCCTCACCACGCCAAACTTGCCGTCTACCCTGACTCCTCTTTCCCGACCCCACGCGCCACCCCTGCCAAGCCTAGCAGCGTGCCAACGATCCACACTCCTGTGCCTCATCATTACGCCTCCCCGCCGACGCCCGCCTCCCCACCCAAGTCCGGCCTCCTTGACAAATGGGCTGAGCTCGGCGATCGCCGCCGCGCGCATCCCGTCCGCGAGCGCGCAAAGAGCGTGACGTCAAAGTTCGCCGAGCTTAAGAGTAAGCGAGAGCCGCGCGAGAAAGAAAGCGGTGGGTTTACGGCGCGGGCGAGGGCATTGAGTTGGCGGCGAGCGACGGCCGGTGCGGAAGAGAAGGAAGAGGTGCCGGCGGTGCCGAGGACGCCGGGGTGGATCGAGAGGGAGCAGGCGAAGGAGTGGGCGATTAGTCGTGATTGGAGGAAGCATACTCCGGTTTCCGAGACTGCCGTTTTCGAGGATCACATTGGCAATGACAATGACAGTGCGGACCACCACGGTAAGGCGGAGGCCACCACATCCGGCGGACCGGGCGACAGCGTGTCACCTCCGAGCAACAGTACTGGATCCAGTTTCTTCAACTTCGGCGTCAAGCGTAACTTCGGCAGCTCCCTCGCCAGCGGGTTCGGCGGCCTCACTTCCTGGGCTCGCAACAGCGGTAGTGCGGTGAAAGAAGGGGATCTCCAACCCCCGCCAATTTCCCCCCTTAAATCTCCTCTTTTTCATTTCGACGCTGATCATCAGCATCCCGGGACGTCCACCGCCGACGGCTCCGGCGCCTCGACGCCGCGCCTGTCCGCGTCGTCGTCCGGGTGGGTGTGCAGAGACGAGTCATCGCGCGCGACCGCGCTGCAGTCGTCGTCGGCCTTGCACTGCGCGGTGCAGGCCGAGGCTGTGCATGCGGTGGGATCAGCGGCGACGACGTCGACGCCGCGGCGGAGCCTGGGTCGGAGTCGACTGCAGGAGCCGTGGGGTCGGTTGAGGGTTCTGCACTTGTAGTTTTCGCGGTTCGGTCGCCATGGCTACCTATCTTATCTATCTCTCGGGTTGGATTGGATGGGGAGTTGGATGGATGGACGGCGCAAAGCTCGTATCTGTGCCTTGGGTTTATCGAGTAGATTGGGTTGGGTTAGGTTGGTTGGTTCGTGGATGGGGAACAACAGACTGGATAGGATAGGGAGTGGTGGTAGTGATGGCGGTTTATTTTACATGTAGAATAGATTACCTATGCTGGTTATGCTAAGTACCCGGGCTGACTGCTGCGGAGGGAGATGGATTCAATGGCACAGATTTACCCACCATGATTCGTTCGTTTGGCTTGCGTGCTTGTGTTCGGTGTCGATGATGTCGACGTAGTGGTAAATGCTTTCGAAAGGTGAGTGTATGACGGGTTTGACTGATGAACGTCGCGAACTCATACAGATTGGCACTTGGAGTAGCCTGACCATGGCATGAGAAGCGGGCCTTGAGGAATTTCACTGAGCTGCACGCTGAAACAGAACTCCACCAGTCACTTGCTCAATTTTGATGCAGTCTCTCGTTCCTAGCCCTTCTATCCTAACACGCAGCTCCCACATGACTGTCTCCTTGATAACCCTCCATGCAATCCACCAGCCACGGTCCTAGGCCACAGGCCTGGGACCATAATGCTAGATCCCGAGGTCCGAGAGGTCTGGTGAGTTTCCCGGCGACCAGACGGCCATAACACGAACCCCGAACCGGAATCAAGTTGGGATTAGGGCACGTGATCAAGATCTCGTCGGCATTGTCCGATCTCCCTTCGCCTCGCAAATCCAGTCCGTCCAGCTGCGGCGCCTCTGATGGAGAAATTATTTCCGCTGGATCCTTGGTCGAAAGTGTCCTGATGGTAGGGGTCCTGATCATTGTTCACCTTGGGCGTGGAAGGCCTCGTGTTTACCGATCTTTCGTCACTGGTCTCGATGGAGCTTGAAGCTCTGGGGGACTCCTCCCGTCTTATATTGGCTTGGGATCGTGATGTCTGATCCTTTGAGAGACTTGTCAGTTATTAAATAGTTAAATTTCTCGTCAGTACTAACAAGAGAACCGATGGCCGTCCACTCTCTCGGACGTCTATCACCCTCTGCCGGCACTGGCTGTGAACCTGCTTCAGCGGGCGCCGCCTTGAAACATTCCCTCTCATTGCTAGAATCAGAGTCGTCATGATATCGGTTAAAGGGAGTTAAGAAGAAAGAGTCGTGTTGGAAAAGCTGTCTCTTGCAGAAGATAGAGATGGCTGTGGAGGATTATTGAGTGCGGTATGAAACAAGCATGAAGAGGGATAGTAGTTAACGACCGGAGGCAAATGATAAGGGGCATCAAAAACGGAGCTTCGACTACGCGAGGGGCGCCGGGGGGACTAATATTACGAAGAATGAGGTGGAAGAATCACACATATTAGGAGGGACTAGGGTTGGAATGGTGCCCGTGAATAATACGGCCCTCATTGGACATGAAAGGATACTCACAAACTCCCGCTCTCGGCTCAATAGCGTTATGGCATCATGAAGAACCAACGAGTTAAAAGGTCGACACCTATAAGTTGGAACATCACTGCTTTTTTCCCTTTGCGGACTTTTGCATAGGCTTCCGATTTCTGGCCTCCCACCGGCCCCATCCTGCATCTTGTAAGTCCTCGGTGAGAACGAGGTCTCGAAGCCTTGCCAGCCTGGCTATCGGCTGCTGCAACCCCCAGTCGACCCATCCTCGTGCTCGTAATATCGATGTTACTTGAAACCATGCGACGGCGCAAACGGAGCCCGCGACGAACCCGACGAGCACCTGCTTCGGCGTGTGGTAGCTCAGGTAGATCCGGCTGACCGCCACAGCTACAGCGCAGAGGAATGCGACGATCGAAAGCAGGAGCCGTTGGAGGAAAGTGGTGGGAACGTGAGAAGTTTCGGGACGCGGGTCGTGTCGGACGAGGAGGAAAAGCGCGAGGTAGATGGCGAAGAAACCGACGAATTGGGCGTGTGAGGAAGGCATGCCATAGCCTTTGCCAAACATTTCTATCCGAGGTCAGTTCAGCTTGGATATATCCCGGTGAAATCAAATAGGAACGTCAGAATCACCTACGCTTTGGCCGCTCTTCCTTGATATAGCGCTTCAAACACCAGTTGAACGCCTCACACGCCAACTGCCCGGTAAACATGAGTATGATCTCAGCTTCCCGCGCGCTCCATATTAGGGTGGCGTATACGACGCAGAGTCCTTGCGGGACAAGAGCGAGCCAGGCGCAGAGGTAGGAAAAGCGGTCATTAGGATTCTATAGGATAGCTGTTAATATGTGGGCAACTAAAGAAATGGAGCGGGGAGATTGGTACTGTACATAGTGGACGTGTGTCAAAGAAAAGGAGGCTACTGGCTCGATCTCCATGACGAAGAAAGGCTTAGAAAGGTACGAAATCTGTCTATTGTCGTGGCATGAAGTTGAGAGCGAACTTCAAGTCGGATTGGGATAGATGATGATTGATGAGGATACTTGGACGGAGTTATAGACATCTTGCAGGGGTTGAGCGCGGTACTTTAGCGTTCTGAGACTCGAACCCAACGGACGATGGTCACATCTTTACTACTGTACCTTGTTTTCTGTAACTTTCTCGAATTCCTATCTTTGGCCCTCTCTCAAGCATTGTACAGATTCATCGATCATTAAAATATTGCTGTGTCAAATAGACCGGATATGAATATTATGATATGGTGTGGCACGATCAATGGCATGAGACCGGTCCTTTTGCAGCGCTGAGAGCACCCGTGGATGTGAGGCAACAGATATCATTGCCATTTCTTATAAGACGACTTCTCTCGTTATTGAATCTTTCTTGGGATCCCCTATATCTCTTTCGATGCTTTCGCTGCAAACGACCCCTAGCCGCGATCTCCTCCGTTTTCTTAAAGACAGCCTATCGAGGTCTAGGTGACCTTACTGATCCAACCTTATCAACTCCGCTGTCTTCATAGCTTGAACGCCCTGACCGTCACCTCTGGAGCGAACGCCTAGAACGTCAGACCGTTGTCCCACATCGGAAGGTCGTTGTAGCCCGTCCATGCGAGCCAAATGAACTCGCCCGGCCCGAAGGTCGTTGATACGCGCCAACGCCCTTCTCTCGGCCGCGACATAGGCACTGACAAGCCTATCTGGCGTCTAGTTCATTAAAGAAGAAAGGGAAGAAAAAAGGCTCTGACAGGGTTCGATAGAATCCGACTCAGAGAAACAAGACTTAGACATATCGGCGGAGCATTCTTCGAGTAGGCGATATTCTCATCACGAGTCTCATACCATAAGCACCTCGGAGGCTAAGCCCCATCATCGCCCAGAGCAGCAAGGGAGGATTTGGGCTCGTCGCAATGATAATGACATGTAAATACAATATTCCTTCAGGAATAAACCTTGCCTTCACATGATTTTCGAGGATGAAATCGATTCACCACAGTCCCTGAAGCGGACTGGGGTGGAGCGCGGCGGTGTTGGATCTCTCTAAGCCACAGCTCACAAAGTCACCGAGTACCTTTTTTATTCGCAGTGATGACTCGTCTGATTGCATCCTCACTTAGGTCTCCAACACATGAGTCCGCTTCTAGGAATTCTGACTCGAAGGTCAGATCGTGGAGGTATAAATTTGCTGTAGCCTGGGGGTCCTATTCTCTGGCGCTGGCATTAATGATCAAGTTTGCATGCACTTTGGAAGAGTCTCGAACGGCGGCGACTCGGGTGGCGACTTCACCTCCGACTACTCATGATCTTTAAAGTCAGCGCACCCAAGGTTTTGATACTTCATTTGTTGAACCCATAGCGATGGCGGATCCAGCTGACGACGAACGATCCGAAGAACTTGAGTCTCTTTCCGCAATCTATCCCGAACTGACGAGAGATGATAACGATCTCTTCCACGCAACACTCGAGCTCCTAGTCGCCCCTAACCCCCATGTCTCCGTTCTTTTCCATCCTCAGGTTGTTCACAGTTCATTTTGTTCGTTAGACGAAATATTAGAGGACTTGAAGATTGATAATCCGAGCTCTATTGTACCATCTTCGGCCGAGGTTGTGCAACCCGAGTGGCAGGATCTCAAATATCTCCCGCCGCTGGCCCTGGACATCTCTCTTCCGTCGGAATATCCGACCTCTACACCGCCTGTCATCAAATTATCAACTTCACCCGATTATTTCCCTGCTTCATATCTGGAGAGTCTGGAGGAAGAATGCACGAAACTATGGGATGAGTACGCTCATACGGCCGTCCTGTTCGCGTACGTGGACTACCTGCAGCAAGCTGTCGAAGATGGGTTCACAGGAGTGTCCGGAAAGCAGGCGCTCAAAGTACCCTTGACGTACAAACCTCAGCTTTTGGACTTTGACAAGAGCACGAAGAGAAAGAAATTTGAGCGCGAGACCTTCAGTTGCGGCATCTGTCTCGAACCCAAGAAAGGGGTGAATTGCCATCGCCTAGCCACCTGCGGCCACGTTTTCTGTCGCGCATGTCTGCAAGACTTCTTTACCGCATCTATCACCCAAGGCGATGTCGCGAGCGTTAAATGTCCGGATCCTACCTGTGGAAGAGCCGATGGCGCCATTACCCACAGACGGGCGGCCCCTCTCAAACTGCGAGCCATCCCTCCCGGTGAACTCCTCCAAGTCCCCCTCGACCGCACCATAGTCCAACGATATGTGGACCTCAAACACAAAAAGAAACTCGAATCCGACCAAACCACCGTCTACTGCCCCCGCAAATGGTGCCAAGGCGCCGCCCGCTCCAAGAAATACCCCAAACCTACATCTCTTGACACCTACGTCGATTCCGACTCTGAACCTGAAGACTCACCCACTACGGAAGCCGAAGGCTCACCTACCACTAAACCCACTGAGAAGGCTGCCGACCCCTCCGCCGACCGCCTCTGCATCTGTGAGGACTGCTCATTTGCCTTCTGCCGCGTCTGCCTGAACGGTTGGCACGGCGACTTCGTGCGCTGCTGGCCGCGCACAGCCGCCGAGCTCACCGCAGAGGAATCCGCGTCGTACGACTTCATCCGGAAGAACACGTCGCCGTGCCCGACATGTTCGTCGCCGACGCAGAAGACGCATGGATGCAACCACATGTCGTGTCCGCAGTGTCGCACGCATTTCTGCTATCTCTGCTCCTCGTGGCTGGATGAGGGGAATCCGTATGAGCATTTCAATAATCCGAAGAAGGAGTGTTTCGAACGGTTGTGGGACTTGGAAGAGGGGGATAATGCGGATGGAGGGGTGGCGTTCGTGGGACAGAGAGGGTGGGAGGCTGCGGTGGAGATCGCGGAGCGTGAGGCGGAAGCGGCGGAGGCAGTGGGCAACCAGAACGGGGAAAACCAAGCAGGCGGAGATCGGCAGGACCGGGCACGGGATGGGGAACAGGAAGGCAGACAAGGCCAGCGCAGAGAGGAGCTCGGAAATGAAGAGAGGGCAGGGATACAGCACTTCCTCGAGATGGTCGAAAACGACGAGGAGGATGGCTGGGATAGTGATGAGCTTGGGGATGAGGAACGGTTCAACTTGGAATTCAGGTAGCGATGGGTTGTTGAACGTCAGTCAACTGCGTTCAACTACAATTCAAACTGGAACAATAGGAATACTGGGTCCATTGATCGTGAAGGTCCTTACTCGGGGGAAGCTAACCATTGTCTCGTGGAAGTTCCGGTGGCTCAGTGCTGAATATCGCCAGCAACTTGTCCACAGTATCCCTGATGACTGCTGTATGGGTATGTAGTGATGTCCGTGAAATATGATTTCGCTATGACGGTCAGAAAGATGATTGGCAGATACCGAGATCAGGCTTACCAAAGCAAAGACAGTACCCTTGTACACTTGATGATACAGCCCTTTATATTCATCTTCATCAAGTGCCTGCCGATCTCTCGTCCCATCGTCACATGCCGTAACATCACCACTCTTCCTCTTGGGCTTCTCATACCCATACATCCTCAACCCCGTCATCACCACTCTTGAGATCAACTCCTTATTCTTCCCCTCTAATACCCCCTCCTCCTCGGCGCCCGTCCTAGATCCCTTGCCCCGTTTCTGCGGCGACAGCAATGGAGTACTACACTGGCTCTGCGACCAACCGTGCGTATCCCCCTGCCCCGTCGCCTCCTTCTCCCACCCATCCAGCACCGATATCCGCCGCCGCTCGCTCACATTCGGGTGCGAACCCCCCCATTGGACAGCCTCGGTGATCGCCCGTCGCGCCTTGCGGTTCTGCTGCTTGGCGGAATCGAAGACGTCTTCGAGGTGTTTCCGCTTCCGAGACTCGAGGTCAGGCTGCGTGACGTCGGCGGCAAACGGAGGGAGGAACTGCGGGGTGAGATCGTCGTCAACGTCCGGAGTGGCGACTAGGGTTGGTGAGCCGGTGGTGGAGAGGGGTGGCGTGGTTGTGCCTGGAATGCGAGTGAGGAGGTCGGAGGAGTAGGCTTGGACGAAGACCGCGGGGTGAGAGGTGCCAGGTAGGCGGACACCGTAGAAGAGTAGTTCGGTAATGTGGAGGCCATTCCATGTTACGGGTGACGAGCCTTTTGGCCGGGTCAAGATCCCTAGGGGATATTGCGCGTGCTTATATGAGGAAACGCTCCATGCCAGTGATTCTTCCACATCATGCTCGGGGTCTGGGTGGCTTGGTGGACCAGATGTGGGATTTATTGCCGCATTGAACCAGCCTTGTGAGGTTTCTGAGCCACTGTGGACCCGGAGGCTTGGTCCAACGGCGAGATACAATGGTAGATAGGAGATATCGACTATCGCGACATATTCGAGGTCATTAGGGAGGGTAGAGTGGGGGGACGATAAAGCGGGATCGAGCACTACGCGTATATCTTCCAGACGCGTTAGTTAGGCGATAGATGCACGAAGGGGGTATTTAATACCTTCTATAAGCTCTCCGGCTGAGAGTGATATGTTTCCAACCCACTCATCCATCATGCTACTCTCGTGGGCGGAATGTTCGCTGTATAAAAAGGACTCTCACGCGTCTGATTCTTGGGTTGGCGTTGAACTCTTATACTGCCTGAGGCACCAATATTTCATCGTGACTCGACCTCCCATCGAGGTTCAAGATGGTCTTTACCTTTCTTGATTCAATGATCTCCAGGGCATACCAATGGAATGTCGAATCATTGATCGGATGTTCTTATACGGGGTTTCCTCTGAGACAGGACGAGTGTGCTCCATTGCAAGATCCGCCTTTGTTTTGTGCAAAGGCCCTCCTCCCTTGGCCAGCTTCCACTGAGTCTAAAAGCTCACGAATGACTAACTTGATGAATTGACATCGACCTCTCTACTAGACTAGTCAATCGCCGAACGGCCGTGTAATTATAGCTAGCAGATGAAGAGCGATGGCCAATATTGTTGTCCAACAGGAGGTCCTTGGGTCTGCGTTCATGTGGGTGTTTAAAACTGGTACAGAGTATTTTATATTACATATTGATTTTGCTCGAGCCGTCGCTCCTTATTATTTTGCACTGCTCTAATTCTACCATATGGCAGTTATAGCATTGATTCTGCGCGTTATTGTTATGCTTATCTTCTCATTAGTTACTTCTCTACTTCTCCATGGCTTCCTTCGGGAATGAGGCAGAATTGCCCAACTGGCTATTTTAGGGATAGAAGCACATCAAGACATAGTCTACGCCGTCCCTCTCGGCGATCTTCGGCAAGTTGTGTCAGAAAACATGAAAAGGATAGTTTGGTGGGTGGAATCCTGACACAAGAACATGGCGATCGGCGCGGGTTCGTTCGGTCCGAGGGGCTCTGGTTCTGAAGCCCCGCAAGTTCAACAGGGAGTCTGGGGGAGCTTATTCCCACGACAACTCCGCAATGAAAAAGTTATAAGATTCAAAGGCTGTTTTGCACTGGAGTGAATAATTTTTTGATCGTCTTGAGCGAGGATTTCTGTAATTGTCAGAAATATTAGGTTCCAACCTGCCAATTAAAGCGAAGCCATGGCTGCCGATTCCGCAAACCAAGCCCGGCACGACCTGGACGACGTCTCCCTTGCGAAATACCTGACGACCAAGATCCCGGGTATCGCATCGCCGGTTAAATCTACGAAGATTGGATATGGCCAGAGCAACCCGACATACTTTGTGGATGATGCTAGGTATAATTAGATACGCTGCTCGCTCCTTGCGCTGCTAACCCAAACACAGAGGCCAGCGATATATCCTGAGGAAGAAGCCGAGCGGCACGATCATTTCTCCTGTCGCACATCAGGTAGACCGCGAATTCCGGGTGTTGGAAGCTCTGGGGAAGGTTAAAGATTTCCCGGTTCCCAAGGTGTTCTGCCTGTGTATGGATGATTCAATCATCGGGACAGCGTTCTATGTGAGCGTACCCCTCAAAGAAGGCCTATAATCCGAACCTAACCTACTGGCAGGTCATGGAATTCGTCAAAGGAAGGATATTGACTGACGTCGACCTCACTGAACTCAGCTCGTCAGACCGAAGAAAAGCGTACGTCTCATCTTCTTCCCTTACTTGGAGTCTGGCTTACTCACCTTTCCAGCTGGTTCTCCCTTGTCGAAACCCTCGCCTGGCTACACAGCATTAACCCAGACGAGATCGGCCTCACCGGCTACGGCAAGACCACCGGATTCTACACCCGCCACTGTAACACCTTCTCCCGCATCGAAGCCCAGCAAGCCAAAGTTCGCGACATCAAGACCGGCCAACTCCTCGGCCGCGCCCACGAAAACTTCGACGAGATCGTTGATTACGTTCGCGCGAACGTGCCGACTGACCGGGCGTCGATCGTACATGGCGACTACAAGTTCGACAACGTCGTGCTGCACCCGACCGAGCCGCGGGTGATCGCGATCCTGGACTGGGAGCTGTCGACCATCGGACATCCGCTCATGGATGCGGTGTATGTGGTCAGCCCATACTGGCAGAAGATCAGCAAGGCGTTCGAGGAGGAAGGGTGGGCGGCGCACGGGTTCCCGGATCCGAACGAGTTGATAGATCGGTATACGCAGATCAACGGCTGGGACCCGCGGAAGGATAAGTGGGAGGTTGCGAAGATTTTCCACATGGTCCGGGTAAGTCTTTCTCTGATTGTGAGATGTGTATCGTTGAAATGAATTGACTGACGGTGGTATTCAGGGCGGAACGATTAGCCATGGTATCCAGGCGCGGACAGTCACCGGACAGGCGAGCAGCGATTTCTCGCACATCTACTATACCAGAACAAAGGAGTACTTTGACAATGCGCTGGCTAAAGTAAGGCAGTTGAAGGAGAACGAGAAGGGGGTTAGCAAGTTGTAGCTCAATCATCAGTAGAACAGATGCTATGTATTCTCTCTTGTTGAGGTTGAATCTGTCTAATTGGATTTGAACCGCGACCGCTACGTCATGCAGACCTCGGGGGCGAGGGACTAGAAGTGGAGGTTGAATTTTCGATGAAAGACTTCCGTTCGGTCGACGGAGTTCCATGCCAACGTATTATTATCAGTGCTGGATGTGAAACTTCGAATAACTAGACTATTCGGTGCAGGAGATAGTTCGGCAACGTACTACATCACGTGATTCTTGGCTGGGTCGGCCAACCATTACCTCAGCAAGCTCAGGCTATTTGTGGTCGTGCCAAGGCACCGGAGTGGGACTATACCTAATCGGTAAGTCACATGTGCTCCTCGAACAAATAGCTTACCTCAGCAAGCTCAGGCCATTGTGGTCGTGCCTGAGGCAACGAACCGCGCTATACCTAATTGGTATGGTCCTCGACCAAATAGCCTGAGGATTCTGTCATTGATTTTTGGCCTGAATCGAGATCGTTTGTATGAGAGCAATTTAATCACATCAACCTCGTTTTCCTCCACAACGAGCTATCGCACAGTAAAATTGACTCGTTCAATCGAATCCTCTATCGTTTCTTGATAACCCAGTGAATTTTGGACGATGTCAGATCGAACCTCCTCTCGGCGCAGCGTACGACTGAACCCAACGCCTCTAGAGAGCAGAGAACAGCCACGAACTACTGCTTCGACTGCCGATGTCCATCGTAGACGCGCCAGATCTCGAGTATGGACGTCAGAAAAGCGAGTGAACGACATATGCAAATACATGTCCCAAACACACCACTTGACGCTTGCCGAGTTCATCCGAGTGTATGTAACAACTCAAGGTGGTGACGGCTACGGAGATCGACCTGCGACGCGTGCCAAACGCCTTGTAGACGCGATATACACTCAACCAGAGGTGCTAGACGCAATACGACAACATCCTGCGTCTGGTGTGGGAGGAATTGTCACCGTGAAGGCACTAAGAAAAGAAATGAAAGCGCTGGAAGAAGCCGGAGGTATGTTTAGTGCCTACCAGGTCCACCGCGAACGAGAAAAGTCTCTACAGGCCAGTATTGGGCGGGAGGGGCGGTCTGAAGATGGCCAGTCTGAAGATGGCCAGAAACCAGAGGACTACGAGTGCATACTCGACGACTTGCGGTTCGGCTGGATGTATGAGCAAGTTAACACTCATGCTCCTCTTCTATGTGGACTGCTCGACGGTCTTATGGCGCCCAAGATAGAGAGGAAAGATCGACCACCACGAGATCCTTCTAAATTTAACCACAGGACTGCGATAATCACGTCGATCCTCTGCTATTCTCGGGCGTCGGAAGGGAGCAACAAGTTTCCCCGCGTATTTGGTGCCTTTCTACACTCCAATGGCGTGAAACGTCGGGTCCTCGACCTTTTTCACCAATTTGGGGTTTGTGAAGGCTACAAGGCAGTCCACAGACATCTTGAAACCGTGGCAGAACAAGCGAAGGCATCGTCACCGTCCCTCGGAATGGATTTCAACTAACCGTACGTAGGGGACGGTCCGTCGATACGGCCAGCTGCTGAACGCCTGTGTTGTCTACGATAATTTCGACTATCGAGAAGGTGTTAAGCACCAGCTCATTTCAAACCATGCAGAAATGCGCTCGGTAACAACGGGGAAAGTTTTCAGAGGCGCCGACATTCCTCCAGGTGGATTAAGGAAATCGATGCTACACCGTGAGACTCCACTTTCAATAGAGGACCTTTTCTACTCTCCCGGCGCCGCCATATACGACGAGACTGCCTCCAAGATTGACAGCTACTTCATAGCGGAGGCGATTCGGACAGCATATCCAAAATCGGTCAAATCTATCTTCTCTAATTCCGACATCCCATTCCCGGCTATGCCAACCGTCGAGTTACTTGAGCTTCGAAAGACAGATAGCAAGACGCTCGGTCCGATTCTCTTCAACGAAGGTACTCTAGATGGCTCCTACGAGGTTATAGAGAGCATCTACAAGCGCCAATTCCAACTAGATAGTAAAGAATTCGACAACCGTCTGTTCTTGGCGTTTGGCGATCAAAAAACCTCTTCACTCATCCGATCTATGCAGGCTGAGCAAGTCGACGCGTCTATATCGTATGATAGAAAAGACTGGCTGATAGGAGTCGCTGCTCTCTTTCACCTGCGCATGAATTTTCTATGGCTCATGCAAAAGACACATTACGGAAACATGGAGCAACAGGACGCTTCAACTCTCTATCACAACATCAACTTCTGGGGACGAAAGAATATTCCAGCGGACCGTGCAGCTTTTCAGGTTCTAGAAGAGCTGGTGCTTCACAGTTTCGACGCTCGAGTTATTGGACTACTTTATACTCGCCTCGAGCAGTACGGCATCGATACCTCCGATCAAGAGGAGGTTGACAAGGCAATTCAGAACATGAATACTAGAGGCTTCATGGACCTAGTGGAGGATGTTCGCAGATCCGCATTTGGGCCGGAAGCCTGGCGACCATCAAAGGAGAAGCATGCCAACAATACAGTCGATGAGGAGTTCCTCAGTCATGCTCGATACCTTCAACAAATGGTTGTGTACAAGACCTTGAAGTACGGCATCAAAAACGGAGATATAGGACTCATCGACCGAGTCATTGGTGTCTGTTGCTTTTACTTCGAGGGGACTGGACAATCAAACTACGCATTCGAAATGCTCTATCTAAAACGGCTCACCAGCACCAAAGCTTGTGATAAGGAGCTTCGGCGCGCAATACTCTCGAATAGCCTCGTTAATCCACATGGCTGTCGGGACACTTGGCAAGAAGTCGATCGTAGCCTTGAATATCTGAACCTGGAGCTGAAAAGAGAGCTTTGGGCCCGTCGAACGTCGACTTTCGGATTAGATGCACTGTTTAAGACTACCTCGTTAACAGCAGAATACACTGTTTTCCTACGCAAGACGATAGAGAAAGCATTTGCGCGGAAGGAAAGCTCCAAGCATTCCGTGCCCTCTCCAGTGGATGATATTCATATACTGGCATTTGAATTGGCGTGCGATTCGATTAAATTTTACAGAGGCGGTAGGAAAGCCAGACATCAAGCGCCGGACATACATACGATCGGGCTCGAAAGGGTGGCGACAAAGAAGCTAGAAATATTTAACGCCAAGGTCATGAGAGACGAAGATCAAATAATAGTGCCACCTTACGAGACAGGAGGAGCGACGGCTGATCTGGATCCCGATAACGACATGATGGCGATACTAGTATGTTTTGTTCTAGTAGAGTATTCAGTCTTGTGCTAACCTACGTCACCAGCCCTTGGAAGATAGAGATGAAGCCCACGAATGGGGCTTACCTTCGGATATCGAGTCGGAGTAGTCCATCTATAATATCCGCTCTCCGTGGTAATAACGCCTATTCTTCTCTTTTTCACTGCGAGGACTTCGCCTTATATTAGAGTCTAAAACGCTGAGAGCGACCCGCTTTATCATTTCTCCTTCTCCTTCACTCGGTGCGGGACGTTTCGACGACTGATTGCCACCACTTACGCTGGACAAACCATTCTCACTGTCTTCGAAAACACTAGATATGCCAGAGGAGCAATCTACGTTTGTCGATGTAACCGACCTAATGGATGTTAATGACGAATCTGCTACCACTATCGGCACTGATTGGGTAGCTAGATAAGGAGAGCACGAGGCTGATATCTCTCTTGCGTTGGCAGTGATTCGTTCTAGCGAGGAAGCGTACTCTTCTCGGTCACGCAAAAATGATGCTCTTCGTCCTTGATCGGGAGTTATTAGAGTCTTTACTTCGGTCGATACTCTTCTTTCCTGAGGCTCTCCTTGTTGGGACATCTGCTTCGTGGCAGGGGGACCTTGTCTCTCGAGCAACGAACTTTGTCGAAACTGTTGCTCGGCAATAATCATAGGCTGTCTTTCTGACAACGCTCGGTCAGGTGAACATGGAGAGCATAATGCTGTATTCTCTCTCGCGCGAGCAATGAGTTTCTCCAATGAGGAAATATAATCATCGCTCTTACGCAAGAAGGACACAGGTTTCTCTGGCTGAGTGGGATGCTCAATCGCGACTGAAGATTGCCCCTTGTGAGTCTCTCTCCCTTCTGGACCCTTGTAGACTTCTTGATAATCAAGGGAAATCTGCACTGGGCCTGCAGCTCCTGACGTCCGTGACGTTTCTAGCCTGCTACCTCCAGGCCAGTTCCTCACGACGTAGGACTTGATATTATTAAACTCCTTAAAGAGTTCATCGGAATGGTCTTTCAACCAGGTCGATTTCACAAACTCCTCCAACTCAGCGGCTGTATGGATGTAGGCATATTCTGTCGATAATGATATCCACTCACTCTTCTGAGTAAATAGCTTCACGGAAAGTTCGGGCTTCGCCGTCTGATGCGCCGAGTTAACAACATTGTCTCCCCAGAGGGCTAGGCGGTCATAAAATGCACCTGGTGCTGTCCCAGCGTGGGGTTTCCGAAGACTGGGAGCAATGTCCCACGGGAAAGGCACCGTCCGCGTCAGGCCAGGGTTGCAGGCGTTACAACATTCGTCCGGTCTAGGAGGAGGCAACTTAGATGCGGGATCTGACAAACTCTCTTGCAGCCAATCCATCAGGATTCGGCGTAGGCAATTGGATCGATTGACAAAATTGTATAGTGCTGGGCAGTCATTGTACAGCTCTGTCCGGCGCTCTCTCTGTGTTTTGCGTTTGCGCTGGTCTTCTGGGACGCCATAGTCAATGGCGTCTACAGCAACATCCGCTTCGTGGTCTGGAACATCACTCTCCGCTTCTGGCTCGACGGGGCATGACTGAGCTAGCTGGCTCGTATAAGAAAGCTGTCTTAAAGACGACTGCTTCCGGCTTCTGGAGAACGCCGCTCTTGTTGATGAAACCCTGTCGCCTACAGCCCAGCTTTCCACCAGGAAGACAGCCTCCCCCTTGATGCTGGCCATTCTAGCTGCACGACCAAACCGTTGGATGAGAACGCTTAAAAGCCGCTCCAAGGGGAATCCATATTGGACGACACGTATGACATTCGAGAGGTCCACTCCCGTTCCCAGTGACTCAGTTGCGACCATAATTCGAATCTTGGAATCCACTTTGGAGAACTCGCTGTACAGGGCCTCCTTATCATGCAGCGTGGTGTGTGAGTGGTAGACCTGGATAATCTCTCTGCTGTCGCGGTGTCTTATGGCCCCTGACGACAGTCTGCACAGCCAGTCTCGCAAACATTCTGCGCATTTTTGGATATCGCGTCGTGAATCTATGAAAATTATCGTTTTCGGAATTTTCATAGGCGTCGGTAGCCCAT